TGTATATCATCTTGTCTATAAGTATACAGCCAAAGTCATTTCTAATTGTATCAGGATTGGTGATATGTTACAGTTTTATAAAGTAAATGATAGCCTCGGTATTAAAAATATCCAAGGTTTTAAATTGGCAGATCCAGTAACAAAGTGCTTATATCGTAAAATGAAAGAAATATCCTATAATTTCAAAACTCATTGTTTAGTGTGTTGGCATCAATAGTCTTTTGAAAGTCTTTATTTCTTGGGACATCGATTGTGATTCACAATAAGGTTATTTGAGAGTTTAGGTACGTAAAGTCATGGTACGTTTGGTAATATCACAATTATTTACAGTACATTGATTCTGGACAGAGAATAACAAATCTTCCTTTACTTCAGTGTTTGTGACTAAGTAGATTCATTTTACATAAATTATACTGATTTACAGATTTAATCAGTAACCTATTAATAACCTGAACCAGAAATGATATTATTTGTTGGTGTGTGGCCTCAGTCCAGTGAATAATTCACATAAAGCAGACTATCTTAGTCGTTCATATAATCTGATTATGCAGCTTATAATAAAGAAGTCATTTTGGAGTTAAGATCGCTTTTGAGTATGAAATGCCAAAAATGAACCAATTCGTACAAGTTTTCAGCAGAAGGATGTATTTAAGTATTGCATTATGATTCGCCAAAACTCACAAATTCTGCAAACTATGTAAGTCTTATTTATATTTGTTAACTTTTGATATATAGAAATAATAATGGGTATATATTGATAGTCGACTTTGTAAATATAAATTCTAGACTATCAACTCATTTCTCTAGTATCTTCTTAGATTTTAGATGAATAGTTATTGTAATCTTAAAACATTACGGTATATGGTGATGGATGTTTGAATGCGAATGGGGGTGCAACTTACTTGAAACAGGGCTTTTCCGAGATGTTGTTCCTATTGTCAATTGTGTGTAACGTTAGTTTCCTCCATCATTAGATGTGAGTTCATTCTGTATGCTTATTATCTATGTAGATGATTTCCCAGCATATACAACCCAATAGGTGGGCAAACGTTTTTTGTCCCTATAGCTATAATGACCGAAATCAGCTGAAGGCGTGCTGTCAAACATCTAGGCCATTTATTTTTATTCCATGAATTCGGCGAGGCATTAAATTAATTGTCTTAATAACAAGCTAAGCAGACATTCTGGTCACCAAAGTGACACTGAAGACACATTCGGTTTGAAAGAGCTATATAGCACTTTTAATTACATATCATTTTAGAACTTCCTCAGAAGGCAAATTTTTAAAAACGCCATAATGCTTAGGTGAATCCATATATTTGACTGCAGACGTAGATGGGGAAATATGATACCTCTAAACTGAATTTCTAGGATGTTTCACATCAGATCGTACCTTAATCTGATAGTGACGCTTACATAAAGCGTTTCCAGCTAGTGGTGCCTGTTGAAAGCAAAATAATAATTCCAGTGCCACATTTTTGTATGGATATTTAAAAGAGTTATTTATCACTGCAATACTGAGACAAATCAAGCCATTTAGTCACTTGAACTGTGTCCCTGAGACTAAAAAACTTGCCGTTGAATGCTGCTTTGTTTATCTGAACTTACAGTGGTTTTCAACAAGCAATTACCATAGTTAAGCAACAGATCGTAGAATTTGACACGTTGATCGTTTTCTGTTTTTTGTGTCTTATTTCCACGTCTTACTGTATACATCCATGACTGATAAACAACAAGTTTCCCTTTAGGCTATATTAACAAATTTGAAGAGTCTAGGTACAATATGTGGTGGAGTCAATGAAGCGTGTTGTTCTCATGTGTGGATAGATAAAGAAAACAGCACAGTTTCATAGAATCGGAGACTTTATGTGGTGTTTGTGAATTCACTACATCGCTTATAGTAAGTCGCAGTAAAATCACCCTAATCTATATGTGTGAACAAATGGACCAAATGTCCCTTTTCAATCTCTTATTCTTGTTCGATGAATAGTTAATTACATTCATGTCATCCGAGTAAGAAGTTTTCAGGGGCTTCATTTTTTAAAGCTTGCTTACGTTTCCCGGTATGATCAATGAGATTTGAGATTTTTCATAACACTAATAAGCTTTTGAAATGAAAACGAATTGTTTATTCATTTAGTGATAGTTCTAACTTATACAAATAACATTCAAACAAAAACGTTCTGGATGGAATTTTGTTCTCTGATCTGGATGGTTTGGTCGTGCAGCTTCCATCGTTCTTCTGAACGACATCATCAGCACAAACTTCAGGTTAAAGTGAAGTGTTCGAATTTCTCTATATATGGTTAACAGCTTGTCCTATACACCTAGATGTTGATTGGTTCTTGTTGACCTTCTTCATTTTTGAATTAGCATTCCTTTTGGTTCATTAAAATAAAAATTCCTGCCATTTTTTCTAAGTCGTTCTTCAGCTATATTTCAGGAAGTGATGGATAATGTAGTCAGTGACCTGGAAGTATTAAACTTTATGAAGATGATCTTATTATACTTGATTATGATAAAGTAGCTCATGATCAAAGAATTGATGCTTTGTTGCGTCACTTAATTAAGAGGAATATTACAGCGAATCTAAATAAGTGTGCATTTTGTGCATCCGTTTCTAAATGTCCTAGATACCTAGTTGAAGGCAATGGTTTTAAACTGGTTATAAAGCGACTAGAGCTACTGACAAGCGCTTGGTCCCCAAAAACTTTAAAAAGCTACGTTCACTATCAGGTGCTCTATGATTATACGATTCAGCATAGAAGCTCCAAACAAATTCAACATGTTGGACAATCATCACAATCATCCGTGTCTATTTTACAAAGCAGGACGCGTTATCCACTACTCCTGATGGTATTTTGTTTGGGAATGATCATGCTTTTATTTATCTTTCAATACGTCAATCTGTACTTGAAGTTCTGGGTAGAAGACATTTGTGTTGTGAAGAAATGAAATCCTTACAAGGCTCATGTGTTGTTGGCCGAAGGTAAATCTAGATATATGTCGTACGGCAAACAATTGTGGAAGATGTCAGGGGTCGAAAAATCATCCTTCGAAGTGGACTCCATGGTCCGTGTCGTCTGTGGCTTGGCAGAGATTCCATAGAGACCATTGTGATCTCTTTCCCGACAGTTACTACGCACTCGTTGTTCTTCTTTTTCTAAGTCGGCCGATGTTTCCACAAATTCAAGAACTTCCGACTTCACAATCTAAGTATTAAGAGAATCGTCCAATCAGGTTGGGGTTCCTATGGTATGAGTGACTGATATTGGCTCTCGTTTTATTCCAGACGCAGTCATTATTTAGTGTAGACCTTTATTATGGTAACAGTTTGATCACATGAATGATTGTTATTGAAATATACTCCCCGGATACCCTCGAATATAATCACAGACTTAACTCGCGTCAGTAAATAAGGGAATTAAGTAAGTCAAATACAAGTGTAAGTTCCGAATAAGTATATTTCACACAATTGTTGACCAGGGTAGACAATCAAGTAAACGAAGAGAATCGAAGAAGGCATGTGAGCCAACTAGATATGTGGTGAGCAGGATAACGGTTTAATGCACACGCCCATATAAAAGTAGTCATAGTCATAACTGAAGAGTTCAAAATGTGACCCAAGAAGAATGAATAAATTAGTCAGTCTGGAAGGCAGAATAGCCCATGTAAAACTGACATATTAGCGGCTTCTACAACTGTCTGGTTTAATTGTATAGGGTGCAGACATGTATTCGCTGCTCCCAGACACACTTTCTTCAATAGTCAGGCAGAAAATTTCGTCGGAAGATTGAAAGTCGCTGTTTATTTCATTCCTGCTTCGACATTTAATGAACTGATGAGGGATGCGGACACGTTTCTATCGCACTATATAAATGCTAAACATTCTGTAACGAAAGAAATTCTACCGAAGCTATTAGAAGGAAGGGTTTTTAGTTCGCATATTAGGCGCTTAGAGTTTTGAGAATTTGCATATCATGCAAAATGGTCCTCAACCAGTAACGAGAACTGTGGTCATGAATGATGGAGATCGATAACTTGACTTGCAAATATCTATGACTTAAGTACACACAACCGACGTATTGGTCAAATACACTTCCAGGAACCAGGTGAGTCTCTTCCGGCTTCGGTTGGTAATTCCAATGCTAACGAGTACATTCCCTGTCATAAAGAGTTCACATCCCGTACACAGTCTGACAAACAAATGATGAACCCTCGCAGAAGAGACACAATCCGTTACAAAAATTTGGATTTCATTTTGGGCTGTTACGATATGTATATGCATATATTTATTGCACGTCGAGATTCAACATACATAGTTATTGTTGATATGAAGCACACCTTTAATCTTGATAAGCGTGACTAGGTGGAAGTTCACATATAGTCATCATGCCACATCTTGTTATTCCATAGAATAAGTGAGACAATTCGACTAGTTTCTAAATTATTAGAATGTATTCAAGCAAAAATATGTGTAGATCACCAACGTTGATGATCTCTGTCTAGTGATTGGGGGGTCTATTGGAGTTAGACGGGTGTGGTGTGACCAACAACTGACTTCGAATTCGCATCTCGCGATTAGCATCTAACGTGAACTACCCCTTCGACATTTCAAAGTACTAAGGCTGCTTCAGACACCGTATAACACAAAGGATGTTAATACGGTAATATATTGGTAACAATGAGTACAGTGAACCTAGTGAGACCACCACCGCATGGACCAGTCCACGGAATACGATTAACTGATGAGCGTTGGCTGTCCTTGATCTTGACAAAGGTCGATGATCTGTCCGACATTTTGTGACCCAACTGTCGGATGATTTGGCTAGGGCTCAGTGAAATTTCACTGACCCTACATATACATTGGTTTCTGGCCGCTAGTACCGTATCCTTCTTCGTCGACAATATATTGAATCTACACCTTTCTTCTGAGTACAATATTTTAGGGAGCTTAATACCAATATGATCATACTATGCTACATCAAGTAATTTTACGATTTTTATGCAAAAGTTGACCAAATTAGGTGGGCCAAAAGGTCTTTATCAAAGTTTTAATAGCTAATTTCAGGTAATATCATACCAATGGAATATATTGGGATCGGTCATGTGAAATAATCTAGTCAAATAACATTTCTTTTGTGACTTCGGCTTCTTTGAAATGGTAACACAGAAACCCTCGGAAGAAGCAAAAAACTTGTATTCTCCAGAAAGTTAAAAAAGTGCTTTTTTCCTTGACAGAAACCGTTCGGCACTTCATAATCTTGAATACTTAACGTTTTTTTCAGATTTACTACGGTTGTCATGACAACGAGTATGAAACCTTCTGAACCTATGTGACACTGTCTACTCAAAGAATCCATCATTCATTTCTTGTTCCTATGTGGCTTGAGAGAAACGCTAAGAACGAAGTATTGTTCACAATTTTCGATCAGTTTAGTCTCAGTTTCTTTTAAGTAATTCAAAGAACAATTTGCTAAAGAAGAATGTTTACCAGATTAATCATGGTAATTGTATGAATGACAAATTAACGCAGAATAAAAAAGCATCTGACCCAAGTGAGGTTTAGTTTTTCTTCATTTAATATGGTTTTGTTTGCTGAATTTCCAGTTTGAGAATTTCTTCTTGATAGTTCTGAATACGTTGACCTAATTTTCAGAGCTATTACTTCAAAGGGATAAAAAAAGCTGATGAAAAAAAGACAAAAATAGCGAATTTTGCGGTAACACTTTACTCATGAACACAAAAAGTGGAGTGTATCTTGAAAACTATATTGACCATCATCTCAAATATTTTCAGTAGCTCATCTTCGGTGCTAATTAAGACTGGAAAATATTCTCTGAAATAATTTTTTTTTCCAAACAGACCATCTGCCATTAGTGGTGTGTGTAAATGATAAAGAGCAGAGACGAAGCCTTAAATGCTTGTAAGTATTTTATGGGACTAGTTACGAGGACCGTAATATATCATATCAAGACATTCAGTAAACGTCAGTCCTGGAAAACACATTATACAATTTTTGATGTATCACCACAGTGTGTCATCTGCTCATCCCCATAAGTGGCCTATATCATATCGGAGACTTGTACCAAAGTCTGAGTATACGCTACGGCATATCAAGTGATATTGTATGTAAATGTTGAGAAGAGGAATATAAAAGCACCGTCATTATTCAGTGACTAAGATGTCTTTAATGCAGAAAACTAAATAACTATCACTCTGAACCAAAAATTGAAAAACTATAGCGTTTCACTAACTGCTTAACCACTAAAGGTTGTGTTGGATGTAAAATTATTCAGGGTTTAAGTTAACATTGACGTTAACAGCTTTGACAAACTCTAAAAATTCTGTGACGTTTCCAGAAACAATCAGCAAACCATACGAATGTGATTCAACTTTATCATAAAAAGTAGACTTTGAATGAGTTTCGTGTTTTTCATATATTGTGTAAATAAGGGAAGTAAATAAGCGCCGCTTGTATTTGTTGCGTACTAAACTGTTTCATAAAGAGAGAGTTTGTTACTTTGCATAACAAGTAGAAGTATTTATCAACACTCAAGCGCTATAATTATTGTGAGTCTTACTAGACTACTTTGTTTACCAGCGCAAAAATTTACCTCAGTTAGTACATATTCGTAATAAATGCAAATTTTGTCATTTACTCGATAGATAAGAAGATAGTGCAAAACAGGAGACAGAGACATAGGTCATTTACCCCAGGAAAATTATCCACAAATTTTCAATTCCAGAAATCTAACGAAGTTTGTGCACCAAAACATCTAAACAAGATTCGTGGATTAACGGACGGTCCAGGTAATTCCAGATCAATGTTTAACCTTTCGTACAATCGAAATTACTTAGTCTGATACAAAAGAGATTTCATAGCCCAAACAAATGAATAGATTTTTAACCAATCCTTAAACCGTGTGGTTAACTAACCATGTAGATATTTAAGTGCTAAGCTATAAACCTCATTTCTTAAATGTAATTTGCAGATACTAACTGCATACGTGATATGAGTATTTAAAATACTATAAACTAAAAGATCTTAAAAAGTAAAGAGCAAAATTACACGAGTATTATACAAAAATATTAGGTGAATTATTCAATGAACACACTAAAAATTTTATACAAATAAAATACATAAACTAGAAGCACTATGTACTTCCCCCTAAACTGAAAATATATCGTTTAATGTCAATGGTAAACTTATATCAAGTTAACTATTGGTGTCAAATATTTATGCCAGCGACTTTTTAACTATCTTTTGAACCATTGACTACATTATTAACACCTGATACTAGATTACATTTTTTTCAGTTTTTTTAGAAAAAAATGGACAAAGTTCATTCAACTATAACGACATTCTAGCAACTAGAATACTTATTTATGATAACGAACTAAACAGCCGATAAATGCGGAAAAAAAGTTGATTAGAATAGCTCTTGTTTACAGAACCTCCATATCATAGCTGAATGTAATTCAAGTGGCTTAACTACTAATCAAATGGTTAAAACTATTTAATTAATGAGCTTAAAGCGCTATCCGGATGCAAAATAGTATCAAACCACAAATAATCAAACAAAAACAAAAATAATGCTCACAGATTAACAGCACATTTTTACTCTGTTTATCATGATAACTAAGGAACTTAATTTTAAATTCCAAGAAAATAAAATGGCAAATGTCTGCATTCTAAAAAATAGCATACCGGTGGATTTAAAGATAATAAACTTGACCAAGTATTGTAAAGTGAACTGTTCATTCAAACATCTGGACATCGTTTAGCAATAAATCAGCTCATATAAAACAAACGCTTCAAAAGAATAGGGCTGAATTATGCAAAGGACAATTTATTTTAAAATTTAGTGAAATAAAATTCACTGAAGTTTAGAAACGTTTGAAAAAAATGAAAATTTTATTTTCTCTCCATTTTGATAGGCCGGATACTTGAGGAACCGCATGATTAAATGCCGTTCTATCATATCTAGGGATTATTAAGTAAACAGCCACGACCCATAAATAAATTACTTTTTAATAAATACAAATTATCCGCAAAGATAGGCATAGAATTGGGATTCTAACCATTGATAATCAGACAAAGTCAATAATAATAGCTGGTTGAAGTTTGTAAGATTTCTAATTCTTAGTTTTATTAGGTTTTTGTCTAGCTTTAAGGTGCATTGTGAGCCAAGGAAGTGTATAGACACGTATATGGAAAAATCTGGAAGTGAGAAGAAGAAGAGAAAAAGAGAATCAACAGTTCGGTTAGTACATTGGAATCGGATTACAGTGATACTAAACATAACCGGTAATAAATAGCAACGATATAAAACAAAAATGGGACAGTTTAGTAACTGAAACTAAAAGTTAGTGGAGTATACTTATGAGTACATAATAAGTAATGTCTTTCAAGCAGTATTTCATCATCACACCATGAAATCGCCAATATTGCTTAACTGAGAAACATGTTAGTCATCATGTATGCGATTTTTATGTGATTCATCTGTGAGACCACAATTTCTAGATTAACAAACTAATGGGTAGCATTTGAATAAGTAGAAGCAAAGTTTTCAAACTGATCCGTAACAATGAGATAGTGTAGACCACCCAGAAATTTGCGAGATACAAGTTTATTAACCAAGCGCTAAGTATGACAATTCCTTATTCTTTGTATTAAACTGTCAGCTAATGAATTCATACAATTAAACGAATGTAGCCAAATGAAAAACCGAAACTGTTAAAAAATACCTCTTTGGTTTCTATGCTTTGGAAGACTCGATTAAAATAAGTCAAGTAAAATATTGGAATGGCTCCACAGACATGTCCGTGCAAAAACAATTACGAATTTCAAAGTAAATATTAAAAAAACTCCATGGCCTATACTTCTAAGGAAGTAATGAAGACCTTTTCATCATAAGTAAAACGAAAACACTGAAAATGTGAGGAAAGCTACTGGCCAACTCTCAACCAAATGTAGATCAATCCCTAAATAAAAACTGGAACAACGTGATTTATTGTTTTACTCATAAATGCAGTGTTAACGCCACTTGAAAACTAATTGATCACTACTTAATACTACTGCAAAACATTATTACAGATAATTTTCTTACCAATACATTTTTCAGAATAGTTTAAACTTGATATTCTTCAAAATATGTCAATATAGAGAAAGCTTGAACTATCCAACATTTTACGTAGCTACTGAAAACCAACTTCATATATTTTGTATAATCTGTTGCAGTGTCTACTCGGCTGTTATATTATTGGTCTCCACAACAAAATCATTCTTGTAGACAAGATATTTACAGCTCCAGTAAATTAAAAACGTCTAAAACTAGCTGATGTACTAAACATTCATCATACAACTCATTCCACTGAACATTTGTGGTGGAAGTCTTAAAGTAACTATTTTAATAAGTATTTCACCAAAAACATTATTATCGACAGGGTTGTTGATAATCACTATCAGAATCGGCTATACAGATAAACGAATATCGATAACTTCTATTGGGTGGCAAAAATAGTATCACTTATAAAAAATAAGTGATCCACAACTTCCTGGATTATAAATCACTGGTAAATGTCAAGTCTTTAGATAACTAATTCCTGTGTTCTGAAGCTATTCAGAAAAGATACTGGTATTATATTGTGTTATACAGTGTTTGCTTTTCTTCTATAACGACACAAATTCTAAGACACCGTTTAGAAGGACATTTTAAAACAAAGTCTATATCAACAGCTTTGTAGTCTAGCACGTGTACTGATAGTGTGGAAAAATGTTAAACTTATTTGAGAGGCTCTCATGATGAGAGATAATGACTTTTTAGCTTTATCCCGATTACGACAAAATGATTATCATTTTAATTAAACTCATTAACTATCCAGAAAAACTATTCCTATTCTATAGTTTATATCACTGACTGGTCTTAGTGTGGGACCTATCAGTAGTGGTCATCCACCACTCCAGACCTTGAAGGCTCAAACCAGAACCTTCGACCCAACTGCGATCACATAACTTCCAGATCACTGATCTGGCATCCAATGGTTCGCATGTTTAATTTCAGCCAATGCGCAATATCACACAACTATCTTCCAATATATTTGCTGGATAACTCCTACACATTCAAAATAGTCACACTTCATTGGTCATAGCTTTTAGCCGAAACTCCAGTATTACCTCAAAAAACTAGTCGTTAATGAATGTATGATTTATATACTTTAAAAGAAAACTTGCAGTTTGATGCTAAATGCTATTGAATAGTATTTTAAAACCATTTGACAAAAGAATTTCTTTCTATAGATGACTGCAAAAAACGATCTATGAGTAATGTTTCTCAGCAACTCTCAACTCAACAACTCAGTAAATCAAATAGATCAAAAGTTAGTTAGTAATTATTTTGCCAAACTTAATTCTCTTTCTATTTATTTTTCTTTTGTTATTTCCATCTATCATTGAGATTTAAATGTTATTTGTTGATTATAACATTTAGTGGAACTTCAGACGGATGTCTTCACATATACGGATACCTTTAAATAACCTATTGTGTCATTGAATAAAGGTAAAGAGAATTTAGTGAAGACAATTTTATTTTTAACAAAATCATTCACTTAAGCTGTACATTCGTATTTACCACACAATAGCTTCAGTGAATAACATAGAGCGTCAGCACATTTTTAAAAAAAAGAATGTTTGGGATACCATCACGTCCTAAACATTGTGATGAATTAAGTGACTAGAGACATTTTCGGACATCAGTTTTAGTGAAACTAGGAACACAAATTGTCTTCAGACCTGTAGATATTGGGAGCATTACATCAGATGACTGACGTACAGAAGACTTATTTAAGTCACATACATTCATCTGGTTATAGCTTCTAATGTACCTGTCACCTGCAAGTTCTTTGAAGAGTTTCCATATACTTGGAGAGTTTTTACAATACAGGAGTTTTTAAGTAAACATAGAGTTGAGACGTCTAGTTTCTAGGCTTATTAGACCATTTAGCTTACGAACTTTGATTGAGTTTTTCTCCTTGTACATTCTTTCTCTTACCCTCCGTAGTCGTTTTAGTTGTGAAGATGTAAGTCGATCAAAACTTACAAAAATGGTTTCAGTGGAACAACAAATATTAAAACAGAATTTAAGGTAACAAATGATGACATCATTAGTGTTTTCCAGTGAGTCATTTGTAAATAATTCCCATTAAAATCCATGCACGCAAACAAAAGTATAAAATTTCTATGATAACTTACCTAGTAAATATACTCTGTGACGAACAGGTTGTTAGAGTTAACCTAGTCAATAACCTAAATTCTTAAACATGTCTCTAATTTAGATGGTGGTTGGAGGTAGTCAACAGGAAACCCTGCACTAATAAGAACTAGACAAGCATGACACTGATCACCACCCAGTGATCAATCAATTGTGATGTCTCTAATTTGGAAAGTTGTACAGTTTCAGATCCTTTTTTTCACCTTTCGTTTTTGTTTTTGTAGAAGAAACTTGTTAAAATACCTTGTATTGATTGCTTAATTTTTTTAGCTTAAACCATTAACTGGATAGTTATTTCGTCTTAGTATGTGACTCGTCAGAAGTTCACACTGACAAACCCATTTGGAATTGGATTCAGGATCTTTTAACTTTATGGAGTGTTTAGCCTTCAGGCTACTGAGTTAGCACCTATCGTTTTACGTCTTTAACATAAATCAGTCCGCATTATTGCGTGACTGTCGTTGGATCCCAACTTAGCAGTTTGAATGTTAAACACTCCCCAGTAGATTTTTTTGAATGTAAGATTTTGAAGAGTTGCATACTAAGGCGAAACATCCATTTGTTGCGTTTGTGTTTTTAGTGACTGTCTAGTTAAGACCAGTCCTTGGTGTAAACAATAAGGTTTAGTTCCCATTCCTATTCATCACCTTTATTTATGCTACTATACAAATGGCTATTTCCTCATCTGTAAACTGGAAAATAATGTATAGAATACTTAACTAATGATCACTGCCTAACGAGACAATATTTTACTTAGTCGCAATACTGTTGTAGTTTTGATGCATAATATTTGACTGGGTGAACACAAACATATGTTGAGTATACATAATGGTTGTTCTGTAAAAATTAAAATATTCTATTGTAATCTGTTTTTGTGCACACGATCGAATCTTGGTTACTCATGACCAAGAGTTACCCTTCTCAGAATAGAACATAAGTTAGTGGTACATGGTTTTGGATACATACTCATCAGGTTCTTCAGTTTTAAATTATAGTGGAAGAACCATTTCTTCACTCCTGATGGTATCTTCTGAGTTACATGTTTTCCTTTTTTTTAAGTTGAAGTATCACTACTTACTTCTACCATGATATATCATTTTGTGGTTCATTGAAACTAGAGTTTAAACTGATAATTTCCTGAACATAAAATAGGTAAAAGTTTCCAGATACAATAAATGTAATTACTTTTAAAAAACAGTTCATCCATTATCAATGACATAATTATTATGTACTACATGCTACGATTCGCTTGTATCGGTTATGTGTGTACTGTTGTATACCTATTAAAGAGCTCAGCTATGAAAATATGAAGTAGTATACACTTTGATCATTGTGATCTATAATCTTTATAACTCCTTTATAAATCCATTTTATCCTTAAGAATAATGGACTATTTCTGCCATAAATAATCTTCCATAATCTTTTCCATAATTACTTGTAATCGAAGCTTGTCAGTGATGTTCAGAACGTGTATGGTAAGACAACCGTCTACCAAACACAAATAACGGATAGAACCTAGCAATCAGTTATTTGGCTTGATGAGAACAAGACGAAATATTGGTGTATATAAAACGGCATTGTAGGCAATTAACTAAGCTATTTAGTCACGGTTCTTAACATGCCATGACATTAGTTGGAAATATGGACAATTTTTGTCCTATCTGAAACTTCTCGATAATATGTAGTCAAACATAGCTTGGCATCAAGTCCAGGACTTTAAAGTATCTGTGCAAACAGGGTAACTCTCAGGGATCGAGTTGAGGTACGATCGTCCTTAGTCGATTTATAATAAGGCAAAAAGTACATGGTTTCACCAATAACCAAGTACTCATCGGTGATTTCGCCGATTGAACATATTTACAAGCCCTGACTTCATATCTAGTGGGCCATAAGATCATTAGTAAATTAACCAAAGGTATACAAAGTATTCAACCAATATAATATGTCTATGGATTACATGCCACATAACTAATTATCATAGAAAGATAAGAATTGAGGTCGTAAAATAAATAGTGAATGTTATTTTCTGTATATCGTATATTACTTTTGTGAAACGGTTTAATTATACTTATCGTGTAATTTTTCTAATATGAACCATTATAAACATTTGGGTTGTTGATTATTGTTAGTATCGAATAATAAATTGATTGAATATAAACGTTTACTACTTAAATCAATTCAGCTTAATATGACTAAGATCATAATCTGTTGACTACAGACAGGCCAGTTAAGTATTTTAATAGACAAAATGAAACAGTTGTTTACATGATATTTTGGAATAATAAAGGAATGGATTTGGTCAAGTATTGAGCTTCAAAAATATTCATTTTATTAACTGTTGTACAAGATTCCGTGTAAGAAAACAATAAGCATTTCCATAGATATCAGTTAGTAACATGTTTGAAATTACAAGTTTATAAATTCATGACCTTAAAAATATTTAGGCATCACAGATATAGGCAAAATAGCATGTCAGTCATTTTATATTGTATGTAATTCTCTTTAGAAAAGGTCAAAATATCTTCATTTATTTGATGGCTTACATTATTTCCTGACTTTTATTGGATAATATAACTAAGTTATATTTAATTGTCACTTGTGGAGTTTCACAACACTATTATGGAAAACGTTTTCATTTATTATACAGTTGAAGAATAAACTAATAACCTGTTATTCCTTTTTTATGACAAATTTCTAATAAGGTTTTCCAGAGTATAATGAGTTCATTTCTATATCATTGCATCCTTTTTCAGTTAGATACCAATAAATGAATTCAATAAGTTAAATATTTTAATAAATATTACTACACTTGCAATTTAAGGGGTGAATATTTCAAGCCCCCAAATGCCCTGGTACGGCCAAGAGTGAGGAGAGTCCGCTCTCCCTCTCTAAATGCTCTCACATGGCCACGCGTATATAGCCTCTGCCCGGGAAGTCCTACTCATTGCCTTCTCGTGACGGCGGTGTTGTCTACGAAAATGAGAGGACGAAAAGCGAATGTCCGGCGCTTTAAATGGATTCCAAAACAATGGTGCATATGGGCTCCAGTATTCTGAAGGAAAAAATAGCGTATGAACCTATTGTTGGTCACCGGCTACCATGGGACTGCATCTCCTCACGATGCTCCACTGCCTTGTGTATCAGACCTTCAGGTCAAAGGCTCGGGGTGTGACCCCCTAAGAAAACCACCTGCCCCGGTTCGGGTACCCAGGCAGTATCACAGCCCCCACACATATCAAATGAGATTTGCGTGGTGTATATATATTTGGTGCCTCCTTGTACCAATATCTATGTGTTAAAATAAAAATAATAAATAATAATGAGTATTTCACAAGATAATAATGAATTTATTTAGAAGCGAAAGTGAAATGAAACTTTTTTGAGGGAATGAGTTTCATAAATATTTCAAGTATTAGAGATAATTTTACTACGCAATTAATGGGGAGTATTTCGATAAATGTAATACATTATAATCATAGCTAAGAGAAGAGCCAACAAGGTTGTTCATATTGCTCATCTGTTAACGGTTCAATTAAAAGTTGACAACTTGTTCTTTTTAAATAAAAAAGTCTCATCTTAAACTAGAAATATTAGAAATCATATTCCTTACTGATTATATGAACGTACTTGTATAGTGAACGAGAACACAAATGAGGATAATCGAATGAATTTCAACACAAAATTACGGAACATGTTAGTAAAATCTGGGATCTATACAGTAAATACTTAATTTGCAAAATGTCAATCACTTATCTCAAAACTGATTGTTCCTTTTGCAAATATCGAGCAATCACCTCAAACTTCACTGTTCCTTCATTTCCACAGCAATCATTCACTATTCTCGTTCTCCAAGCATTTCATGTTCAATTGATGACACATACTACTTATATCTGTCGAGATCGGTAGCACACACAACACTTGTTAGATTTACCTCACATCTAATGTACAACAGATGATGTACAACCAAATATTTATCGATGTTATTAACAACAAAATTGAGGAAATATTTTAGATTCTCTTCAACAAAATATGTAGATTTCTATCTTCCTATCTTCCTAGTGTACTAAATTTGTATATAAATGTAGTCTAAACAAAATTTTAATCCGCTGTCTAAAAATCTACCATAGTGATAAATAATTTATCTTTCAAATCTGGAATATATATCAACATTCCTCTAAAATTCCAATTGACTTATATGGATTTCAAAATACTACAATGAATTCATTACATTTTGTAAATTCTATTATTATTGTTCTATGAAAATTAATTACATTAATTTGAATTTTTCAATTTTTGGATAAATAAACAAAATTCAAATCATATTTATTTATTTTTATTTATTTCAACACATAAATATTGGTACAAGAGGGCGCCAAATATATATGCGCCACACCATATTTGTGTGTGTGGGCGGTGATACTGCCTGGGTGCCCAGACCGAAGCAGGTGGTTTTCTTAGGGGGTCACACCCCAAAACTTTGACCTGAAGGTTTGATCCACAAGGCAGTGGAGCATCGTAAGGAGATGCAGTCCCATGGAAACCGATGACCAACGATGGCTTCATACGCCATTTGTTCATTCAGAATACTGGAGCCACATGTGCACCATTGGTTTGGGATCCGGTTAAAGCGCCGGACATTCGCTTTTCGTCCTCTCATTTTCGTAGACAACACCCCCGCCACGAGAAGGCAATGAGTAGGACTTCCGTGGCAGAGGCTGTATACGCGTGGCCGTGTGGGAGCATTTCGAGAGGGAGGGAGGGCCCACCCCACTCGACCATACCAGGGCATTTATATAATTATATATATATATAATGTAATAATAAATATTTATTATTTAAAATTTAAATAATAATTACAAGACTATTAATGAAGTCTCTCTGATCTAGCAAAAAATAGTTGCTAAGCACAATTGATTGATCACTGGGTGCTGATCCATGTCAAGCTGGGTGACACGAGATCGAATCCGCCAGGGAGCACCAGTTCCCTCAAGATTACAGGTACACCTTGCTGACGAGTGCCAAGTAGCACGAAACCCGGGTTCAGAGTTTCCTGTTGACTACCTCTAACCACCATCTAAATAGTTGCTAAGGTCATCAAGAAATTTAGGTTCACTGGGGAAAAGAGTTACTTGACAAAATGCAAATTTAAGTGAACTTTTATTTTATTTGTAAAACACTTAAGTGAAATTTTTCAACAAAAGAAAAATAGCAACTGCTTAACTTAAACAATAGCCAACCCCATAAATCTTAATTGAATAAATCAAGTACTGTAATGATATATATTTTACTTACTAGTAAGAAGGATATATAATAATAATAATAAAATGTTAAATCCTATTCCAGATGATGTGAGCAACCTTTTTAATTCCACGCAATAACCTATATTAGGTACATTGTTAGTTATGACATTTAATCAGCTAGTACTAATATTTAAATAAAGCCAGAATAAGTATTGATGCAGAATAATATGAATTCATTATATTTCATCATTTCTCATTAGCTGCTTACAATCAAATCTGTATTAGAATTTTACATTAAGGTAAGAAATAGTATGAAACAATTGACATAAGTAAAATTCATAAAGGGAACTAATGGTATAAATTTTTTTGGAAAATCGTACTCATATATTGATTTCAATATTAACATTTAATAAAATATAGCAAATAAATACCTTGAGTAATCCATTCATTAGATAATGAATTTACATAAAATGACCAGTTAAATGATTGTAGTTAAATCATTAAATATTTTCAAAGAAAACTCGATTTCATCTAAATAACCGGAATATTCTATGTTAAAAGATGGTTGCTTTTATTTCTCACTCTAATGTATATTTAGTTTTCCAACTACATGTCATTTGTAAGTGATTAAAACCAGTTTCATACAATGTTTGTTAAAGTTCCCAAGTAATACTTATGAAATTTGTCCGCATTTCAAAAGGTAGTAACTTTATTATAATTATTATTCCGATTGAACTGCCCTAATCAACCTTTATTTAATCGTTTTCTTTCTTAACTATCCGTCATTATGATAAATTAAATGAATACTCAGTAAATCCTAGTATTTAGACCTCAATGATTGTATGAATTTGATGAGAACCTTATGTAATCAAATGAATTCATCTTGTCCAAAAGCATTCATTATTTTTAATAACATAAAGTTCTGAAATAGTTTTTGTGGTGGTTAAATTAATTCGTAAGCGGTATTCTTTATACATTGATCTCAGATGAGATAATACAGCACTGGAAATATGTTTCCTTGTAGTAGAGGACTACTCAGAAATGTGCACCCCCGACCGCACCATAGAGTGAACCCATGACATTCAGGTCTCTTGAAGAGCATGTTACTTTTAGATCACTGATTCGAACTGAATGCATCTTCCTTCTTAACTTCATCCAAATCATGATATTGCGAGACGGTCGTTTAACGTCACTAATGCGACTGCTTCACTCCTAAAATATCTAATCTTCACCGGTCGCTTCTCAATATCACCTATCTGGAAGTACTTAACTAATGAACACGCCATCATAGTGTTGATAAGAGGGTTTTGCGAAGACTGGTTTAATATGTGGGTAGTATTCGTCACAAATTGACCTCGGTTTTTTGTTAAAGAGTAACCAACTCACTATTAATTAATTCTCAGACTATATGTCAAATTTGAATATATCAATTTTTCAAAAGAATTTTATTAATCAGTTGACTTTAAAAATGACTCGTAATTTGTGTAAATCCCACAATTTTACTATTTAACAAAAATTCTCTTGGAATTTGTTTTTAACTTTTTTAGAGCATCGCATCGATCAATACACGTAAAACCGGATTCTTAAGTAATGAGGAAGATAGAGCACTATTCGCGAAGCAAAGATCTATAGTAAGTAAAAACTTTTTAAAATGTATGCAACATGCGAAAAAAATCACTTGATAATACATTTCAATAAAAAATAATCCTAGAACTACATAACAACCACAATTGATTGATCACTGGGTGCTGATCAATGTCATGATTGTCTAGTCCTTATTAGTGCAGATCGAATGCTATCGATCATGTTGCAATGTGGCCACCAGTCTAGGTGACTCGACACTGCGGGCACTATATATTGAGATTTAGGTGGTGGTTGGAGGTAATCAAGAGGAAACCCTGGACCAGGGTTTCGTGCTACTTGGCATTCATACATAACAACAAACAACTCTCCACTCATATTTCAGGAGTTAACAGAAGTAATTTAACTCTTGCTAAAACATTTAGATATTGTGAAAACAATGATAATGTTAAGTAATCTAGTAAGAATCTGATTATCATTCCACAACAATTTTGTACATTCTGTATAACAGTTTAATCTTTCTTTGTCCATATCCTCAATTTGGATTCACTTCGGAATTAGTCTACTACCCAGATAATAGATTTACGGAAAAAGCTTTCAGTCAATACAATTTATTCAGAACATAAACCAGATAAACAGTTAATGATCGCTTAGTTTGTAATTTACGAACAGAATTTATCAGCATTAAAAATTATTTTAAAAAAATTTTCTGCAGGGATTTCACACAATTCCACCCTTTTATGAACTTGAATAGAACAAAAACAATGATTGGTATGAAATGAATTTGAACTCGTTTATTTAGCAAATTCTCTTCAGTTCCTTACAAACTAGAAACAACGGTATTAATGATTTGAAAAGTCGTGATTTAAAATAGGTATGAAATGTACATGCAGATTAGTAAAAGGTAGAAACTTTGAGGAGAATTAAAAGTCAACAATTTTTTTTCTAATTTCTATACTATCCTGGAATAATTGTTATAAAGACATTTAGAACAAGTTTATGTATTTAAAAATAGGCATTTACCAATCTTGTATTGTTTTAGTGATGTAGGCTAAGAAACCGCTTTTCTTATGATCATATTTATAATTCTTTATTTCTCACTTATAATCAGAAGTTTACTCAAGTATTCAATTTTACTTCTTATATCTAAAGTATTATATAAGCTATTACATTATTTTGTTTTTTATTTCTAAAGACTATTCCCATGCTCTTTACAGTCATCTTTTCTAGAACATTCAGATATTCAATTTATAAATGGATAGCCATTTAAACGAATTTTTAATTCATTCACAATTAATGACCTTTAATAATCTACATTTAGACATCATATCTATTTTAAATCACGACTTTTCTCACCCAAATTATGTATGTTGCTTTTGTTTTTAATTCATTAATACTATTGTTTATAGTTTGTAAGGTGTTGAAAAGAATTTGCTAAATAAATGAATTCATATTTATCTGACCATCATCAATATTCTTAATTTAAGTAAAATATTATAAGATTGAAATCCGAATGAAATTAGGAATTTAACTTACTTTTAAGCATTGATAATGTGATATTATTTATTGGAAAATAGAATAGTATTAGGTAGAAATAATGAAAAACACAGGAATTTCTGTACTGTTTATTTATTTCTCAGGAGTTTAGTTCATTTTATAATAAGTTTCAATCGATTTTCAAGATTTCTGATAAAACCTAGTCTGTTTAGTGGTGTCTATTATAAATACAACGGTCACACAGTCTGGTATCCAATGTTTATTGTTTTTCTTAGTGATTATATGACTAAAAAGACCAAGCTCAAGTTTATTATTCTTAGGATAGAAAGAACTTGAACAAACTTAAGAAATTTCTACACTATATATTATTTGTATAATCTTATAATTGAACTATTCGATTTGGCATATCTCTGCACGCTAAACAGAATGATATTTGGAATGTGAAAAGTTATTCCAATCAGTGATTTTGTGTTGTACACAGGAACATGTGAGTTAAAAAAAATCATGAATACTGTGGCGTCAATCAAAATATCTCAATAAGTTTACTGATTGTAACATAGTTCGGCATATTAATATCTTGTACTTAATGACACAGGATTGGTGACATATGGTAGGAATCCTCACTTAATTTACTACTGAAATACCTACATGATCAAAGCATAAAGTGAATACATATTGATTAAGATGATTAAATTCTCTACCAAATGATTTGATTTCATTTCTCAACGTTAAATATACGCGTCATGATGATAAATACCTATATGTCCAAGTTTAATCATTTATGTTCCATACCCTCTAGCGAAAACTTTTGATCATATATTTAAAAAAACTAATAGTGAATGATATTGTCATACTTGTAAAAATTGTTTTGTTAGATATTTGTGCATAACATTGTATCGTTTCACTTTGCTTTACGTGTTATAATTATTATAGATATATCAGTTAAATGAAATTATGAGAAAATCAGAAATAGCCAATTACGAAGCTTTCATGAACTTAAACCATACAAATTGATTATGCTAATAGGAAAGGATGAATATATGCAGCATTAACACAGAATTTCCAATCTTATTTGTAATGAGTTGAGTAGTTTGGAAGGTAATCCAGATATTATTCAATCTCAATGAAACAGAAGTTCAGTTTCGTTAAACAGTTTAAAAACGCTTAGTAACTGCGTAGTGCATATGGCATAAAAATTAGCTCAAGTAATGTGGAATGTATATAGTTATATTCGGTAAGACGATATGATTGATCTGAAAAAGACTATTGATCCAGTTAACTGCTCCAGAAAAAGTACGCGTATAGCCATGGTATTACATAAGCTAGGATCCTCAAGGTAAGTAAAACTTATGAACAACAAAATACGTAGGAAACTGAAAGCAAGCAATATCTAACCATTGCTTCCTGACGTTTGAATACAGAAATCCAATGTCTTCCCAAATAATTCAATTAGTGATTAATTTATAGAATAACCTTCATTTCATATTTCAAGCTTTTATAATACTCAGTATTACACTATCGAATACCAATAAGTAGTGCCTGATTAAACTAAACCATTCATAGCGAATCAAGCCTTATCTACTGGTCTTTCTCAACACATGTCTTACTCAGCTTCTCCGAAAATCCTAAAAAGCACCAAGACAGTCCTACTGTGATTATTAATAGACAATCTTTAGTCTTCATTACGAATTAAATTGCTAAGAAACCAACCACTAATTCCTACATACTAAACAATACTTGTAAATGAAACCAGTAACTACTAACAGCCAACCGTAGTTTTCAGAATGAAAACTTTAAAGACCAATCGCCTATTCATTTTTTGATAAGCTAAACGCTCAATATCGATCTAGGGGAATTTAGGGATGTTCATCGTTAAGTCCCTCATGGTACTCAACACATCATCATAAAAGCTCACTAACACTTCCCGGTAATATCCTGTTATTTCTTTTAAGTTACATCACACAGGTTCCCCTTCCCTACAGCACCGAAATTTATTTGCGATTACTATAAAGGTCTTCAGTGTGTCTACAACTAGACTTTTTTACTCATCATACTATCCCAGAGAGAATGGGACTTCATGTGTCAGTGAGTATAAATGGATTTTTCAGAGGTCCATCAGCTCTTATTGACGTTTGGTAGCCGATTTTAGCAGTAAGTCGAGAACATCAAGGGCTAAACATAGTACTAGAGACACCCTCATTGAAACGAAGAGTCTAACTAGTCTTAGGCATCATCAGACTATATAAACACAGAAATTTGTTAGGTATATATTTAATAAGAAACAAGACCGTTGACAATGAATAACAGGAAGATTTCTCAGTGTGTTGATATAGAGGCAAAAGTAGACAATACTCCTATTTACAATTAACGTTTATCCTTAACAAAAACAAGTGACTGTGAGTTTGAATTAAAGATTGTTACGGCTTTTTGCCTCGAGAATCGAAAGAAGTCAACAAGATTTTTTTTATGAGAATAGCTCATAGTGAGAGATAAATTAGATGAACACCAGCTAAAAGAATAACCACGAAAACGAAATAAACCATCCATTACAAATTAAATGTAACAGGACCTAGCAATTTGAAAACTCACTTGTGAAGTAGCACTTATTTTTAATCTTCCTCTATATTTCCGACGTTTGGCCGGTTTGTAAATATTTTTTTCTGGGCTACGTTGGTCACCACTATTAATCCTCTTTTCTTATCTGAGTTGTAACATAGGTGCCTTACCTAGTATAAATTCGACATAAGTAGATCAATGCGCTCTGGTTCCTCCATTAAGAATTCTATACACCAAGAGTTTTACAAAACCCAGTCTTACTTGCATTAACATAAATAAATGAATACGATTTCTGTACTAAGAATGAAATACTCGAAATAAAAGAGCCATTTAGTTAGAAAGTTTTAATTTAAAAATTGTAAATGATTCAAGCATCAATCAAATATTATACGTAACGACAACTGAATTTAAGGAAAAAAATTATTTCTGGAGTAGGTAACTGAATAATACGGTTAAATAAAGCACATTCTGTTAGTTAAGAAAGAAAGAAAGGAAATGAGATAAAAACGAAGGATTGGTACATAATATGTAATATGGTAGTTCATTTCAAGAACAAGACAATAAGTTGTAACTAGATAAATGATAAGCAATACATCGAGGTAGACTATGAGATTGATTACAAGAAGAGTTGATATCTTTTTGTTAAAAAGGGTATTTTAAAATGTTAATGATTGCACAATATACAACTTAACGCGTGAGTGAACTATATATTAGGGAGAAAACTTTTATGAGTATAAAATCGGAAAAATGGCCTGAGTTGTGGATGAGCTTCTTTGTGAAGAAATGAGGTTATATTATGGAAATCCGAGTATCACATATCACTGTAATTACAACGAAGTGGTCAAAATAATTATATCTCTTTGGAAACCTTCGAGAAGAGATGGGATGAGGTAGAAAAAACTTTCCAAACCACGGTAATTCTGTTTTTCCAGATTTCACTAAAAGAGGACAAACGATAGTGTAATGTTTCTTTATAAACATAAACAGGCTCTATACTCAAAAACAGATACAGGCGAATTAAAGATAGAAATTCTGAAACGAGTAAAAAACAGATGAATCAACAGTATACTTTATGCACTGAAATAAGCTTAATGAACACACAGAAATATATACTTTTGTGAGCGCTATATATATATATATATATATATATATATATATATATATATATATATATATATATATATATAGTTTTCCCAACAAATAAGTAGGAATTAATGTATTTATAAGCAAATAGTCCTGGAGCATTTCACAGAAAGATGTAAGTTAAAAGTGATTCAATAGTCACTGGGTTAAAGTTAATCTTTCTTACAAGCAAACTAAAGCATTGAGTAGTATTATTGAATAGTGAACTCGTATTAATAGATTAATTTGAAATATATATGTTACATGTTTAGATTAAATGGTGACTGGAAGTTCTACTAATGACTACTAGTGCAACCATTAAATAGAAGGGAGTTAAGGACCACAAGATAAAAATCAGTGATTTTAGTTGAAAGGGTAAAACATCAACCAAGTAGTGCCCATTGTCTGGGAGCTAGTCTAATCTAAAAATTTAACACTGGTTTTAAATCCTAGTACTCGATTTTGTGTCATTGATATGAATCAACATATACTATGATATTACTGTATGAGTAACTACATTGATACAGGGCAACTAGTAAGTCACTTATGTTTAGCGTATAAACAAAATATTGTATTAAGTGTTGTGTTATCAACCGGTTAGTTATGATTTAGATAATTAATTTATATCACTTGTTAGTGGATGAGTATGATAAAACAATGGACTTGAAATAATTGCCGCCCACTCAGATTAGACATCAACTAAGTAGAAACAGGTTCACGCATCTAGCTGACCAGAATCTATTTTAAGTGCTACTGAGAACACTCGACAAACCACTTTAGAGACAGTGCTGATTTCAGACCTAACCACAAAATACCGACGCCAAATGAGGAGAATTAGTATAACAATTCTTACTGTCTAAGGATGACTTGTGAGTGTGAAACCAGAAACAGCAGTTGAAATTCGTGGTGGAGGAGGAGGAGGAGGAGCACAATTTTGGTGATTTGACATATGAGACAGCCGATGTGAATTGAACAGTCGCGTTTCCTGTATGTTTGCATTCAACGGAGTACAGCTACTGCTGCTACTACTTTTCGAACTGAGCATAGAATCTCGTTTAACTGATTCCTGTGTTTGGTGTTGCTTGCCATCAGAATTATTAGCGGGAACATTCTGTCTTGGGTTTCCAAAAGAAGTTGAACTAGATCCTGTAGATGATGCTGCAAGCTCGTTCTGTTGAGATAGATCATTACCATTAGAATAAAAAGGAGGTCTTAATCTAGACTGATTGCCTGCAACACCACCACCAGTAGCAGAGAGATTTTGTGCCAAATTAGAATTTGACTGGGAATGTTGCTGTTTTAGTGACCGTACATTTGGTAAAACTGAATCTTGTTGTCTAGAATGGCTGAATCCCTGAACCCCAATGTGGTTTGACGCGGATGTTTCTTTGGGACGTGATTTCGTATGTCCAGGAATTTCATGAGCGAAATGACCTGACTCACTACTTGTGCTAGATGTTGAACTGGAATAGCCTGAAAAAGTGGAATTTAGAAAACAAAAAACCATTAAAAAATTAAGTAACATCTAAACTAATGGTTACAGCCAAAAATCCTTAGAAATTTTGTGGACTGTAATTTAAATAATATATTTGGAAAACATAAGGTTTAATGTGTAGATACATGAAAATATGAAACGATGGAAAAGTCAAAAGAAATCAGTAATTTAATTTTAACAGATAATTTTGAGGATAACATTCAACGTTGATTAACTGAGCCCGTGACTTTAAGTAGGAACGCTTACAGTCAAGTATTAAATACGATTCAAATTAACAAATATCATGAAAGGTTTTTTGCAGAAAACTTACGCAGTTGATCATTAGTCGCTCATTAAACAGTTGAAATGAATATTTTGTAGATGAAGACGAGTAAAAGATACTTATAATTTAAATACCCTTAAACAAGGAAATACTAAGTACCCTACATTAGAAATAAAACACGATGAAGGGAATAATTGCAAATGGTGTGAAACGTTACTCGGTAGTATTTCACCTTATTTGTAACAAAATTGTGTTAAAAACTGTTGAATAAACATAAAAACTATCGGAAAATTAGTTTGTTACGAGGAATAACAAAGCAATGAGCATCATGGTTATCTGCAAACACGTTTTTGTCATGAATCTTCAAATAAATGATACAAATCAATGTTCATTGTAGTAAAGTTATCAATAATTACCAACTACGAAACAGTATGAACTTTATCATTAATGACTTTGATTCCATGGATATGACCAGTGTTTGATAATCGGTTCAACTGAAATAAGTAATAAACTTCATATTATGTCCTCAAACCCCAGAATGTTGTTGGACATAATTACTATTGATGACTAGGGACATTCGTTCGCATAGCATTAGACAGTTTTATAAAACTTGGTACATATTTGTCACTAACCTGAAATATTATCCCTATTTCCACTGTTCAATCGGGGCCCACTGTGTGACTGTTGGAGATTTGCGTTAGCAGCTATATTTTGACCGTCTGCGATCAACTGACGAATAGGAGCAGCAAGAGGCGGAGCAGGTGGATGATACATCGGTGGGACGGTGCTATACTGACTGCTATTCCCTTCTCTACTTGCTGCTCCGATTCCATGAGATCCAGCAAAACCCGGATTGTAATCAGGCATGCTAGCACCAGCCCTAACAGTTAAACTAGTACTTGTTGTATTGTGCCCCCAATTGGGATGAGAATGTGCACCAACTTCACTGACACTATCAACTTCTTCTAGGCTTAAGCAAGACATATCTGGAAAATATGAAGGTAAAAAATTATTAGCTGACAAAATTTACTGACTTCGGAAACAAGTCGAATAGGAAAGAGAAATATACAACTTAATATATCAGAATGAAACGCAACAAATCAAAAATAAGAAACGGGTATTCATACTGAAACAACTTGTTTAAATAGCTACGACTTTTCATTTTAGTGCCTCCAATAGGCCCAAAATTCTAATAAAGAAGATATATTGATTAATTTTATTCATGAAACAAGAAAAATATGCACCACAATATATTTCTGGCTATTGGCAGTGGGATTGAGATGTAGTGTAATGAAAATAGAATGTGAGGTAAAATTGATCTAAATAGCACACTAGGTTTAGTCAAATTATGTGTTAACTAAGAAAAGACATAAATACTCTAACCTCTGTAAAAAAATTAAATCTCTCAAGAGAACGAATGGAAATATCCAACAGATTATGCGTATTAATTGCGTAATATGTTAACAAGAATGGTAAGTTCAAAAAGACAAAAGTAAAGCAATAAAAGAGTAAGATAAATGCTTACGTTCACTTATATCCCGGAAGACATAATAACATTGTTCCGAAAAAGTTAACTTATTTACAATATGCCGAATGTATCCCAATTTGAGCAGATTAGATGCATACTTTCGGGCTTCCCGGCGATCGGTCAAACCATCCAAGTGACGGAAAAGCCAATCAACTAGATCAGAACCTTGAGGGTGAAGTGAAAATCGTACGATGTGAAACTAATAAAAAGACAAACTGAAATATATCAGTGAATGAAAACGTTAAAGTATGTACGCATAAAACTTCTTCACAATGTTGTTTGTAGGAATGAACTAGGTTGGACACGACAAATAACAAATAAACCTTAAAACCACGTTCATGTGAAAACTATGACAAGAAAGAAGAAATGTCGCAGCAGATTATTTAATGCGTAAAAAGTGATGACACTAGCACATAACGTTGAATATAACAATTACGGTGACAGTCTATTTGCAGAATGATACATCACACATAATTGGTAGCTTTAATTATTAAACCTTTTGAACCATTCGTTTTCAAGTAGAGTTCAACTTAATTAACAGACGAAATTATTCTAATTAGTCAAACTAGTGAAAGCCTAGTGCCCCAAATGCGACAAATAATTGTTGTAAAAGACATCAATTAGGACCATTAAAGTGAGTCGCAAAAAACTTATCGTTCCACAGTTTATTCACTCGTATAATATTACTAACCGAGGATTTTGTTAAAGACGAAATAGGATAAGAAACGAAGCCAATAATACATGTACATGATTTTCTCCTTTTATAATTAACCCTCATAACTTACCAGAAAAACGAAGAAATACTCTTAAAAATTTAATGTAGAGATCTAGATCAGCGTAGAAACTTAAATTGATTTAACTTAGTACATATCTATATCTTTGGCTTTGAAACACACCTAATGTGCGAAGGTTGAGGAAGCTACATAAATTTCTAATCAGAAGCTAAGACTCAATCGTTAAATGTCGACTGACTAAGTCTTTGAGTAAACCATACTGTCCCAGCTATTCGACCTCGAAAAATATTATGAAAACTATGGATAGTTATACACTCCACCACGAGCAAAAACAAAAAAATCTTATCAGATTTATTAAAGTGATAAAAAACTCTTCAACCGTACCACCTTAAATAAAACGCTCTCTGCCGATGGACACTGTTGTTGTCTCAACTTCAAGAAATTAAACTATCTATTAAAAGTTACCACATAAATAACTACGAAATATGCTGTGAGCCGTGTTATTTCAGCTGTATACAGAATAAGCAATTTGAAGCTGGTTACATGCACTAGACATCTAGGCAAAGCAGGAGTAGAGCAGACTTTAAAAACGGTAATCCTAAAAAGGAATTGGCTGACGAATAAAAACTTATCCAAAAACTTACAACTAACCTATAAACGCGTTTGGTACGGTTAGCTTGAGCCACATACGATCCCTAATATCGAGACCAGAATCAGGTTGGAGCATTGCACGAATAACTGTGGGAATACTTGTCGATAGACCTAATGGAATGGGGTCTGAGTAACGTTCAATCTCCGGCAGCGAGCTGGATGCAGTAACAATGCTAGGAGCGACCTACAAGTATTAAATCATAAACAAATGAACAATCAATGATGTAAAGAGAATAAATAAAATTATCTACAAAATAGAAAGGATATTACATTTATACATGTGAATGAACGAATTGTCATGACCTTGTTTCATTTGAAAAGACTAAGGATGTATCCAAGAGAGAACTAGCTAGGCACTTAGTTGACCAAGTAAAGGTTTTTAACCTGAGATATCCTGGAACGGTTCGTAGTCCGCTTTAACAACAGTGACGTCTGTTAACAACCTGAAACAAGAGATTAAAACAACCAATAGATCTCTGAAGCCTAAAGTAAATTTATAGACTCATGGAAACCCGTACTGTATGTTCGGGGAGCAATAAAGCATTAAGACAACTTAAAAAGACTGACGAAACGTCTACATAAGGGCCGAGAGCGATGATGAGAAATGAAAGTGAAAAAAAGGTATGAAAGTCGGGGGGACTGGGAACGCTAGACACTGTTCAAACTCATCGAGTAGATTGACACTAAAAAATTCAGCTGTTAGTGAAACAATTTCGAAAAAACATGGGACAGTGATCCGCTTTCAGTTTATGATATTGGAACAGTGGGTAGAACGCCTTAGAGAACAATTCGATTGGTCTCGAAATACTCTTCAATTACCTGCCACTTCACAAGTAATCTGAATAAGATAGATATATACGTACTAGCATCGATATTCTATCTCGCATTAATGATAATTATGTACTAGTGAAATCAACTAATTTTATAAAGTATTTTTTTAATCATATCTATGGTGTGACAGCTAGGAATATGAACTAGAAAAGAGCTGAAAACCATAACCTAATAGTTAGAAATCGAGTATCTGAGACGCCACCTTATCCTTTTGAAATGAGAGCATCCAACTGAGTGAAATTTTAAATTCATTTTAAAATTATTGTGAAAAATAATCTTTTTTCCAGTGATCCGAAAATTTATGCTAATTAAGAATTTATTGACCATCGATTGCTAAGATTAGAATTTTGATGATTTACAGTAATTACCCTGTCCCACGAAAAAATAACATTTAGCAGTGAGAAAAAAACGAAATAACATCCTAGTTGATATCAACGCTTTACCTGTTGAGTATAACCATGGGGAAGTAATAAATTTGACGTAGGATAAAATGCGGGTTGTGATAAATGAATTCGTTGTTGAAGTAAATGTTGTTGCTGCTGATGTTCTTGTTCTTGTTGCTGTTTTTGTTTAGAGGCTGCAAGTAAAGCAGCCATATTGAACGCTGCTGCACTTGTACCTAGCGGCATTGAAGTTTGCCCTGATGTCAAAGTGCCCATACTCATACCAGGGGTAAGACCAGGGGGACTAAGAGTGGAGCTAGACTCACCACCTGACGAGGCACCAGTCATGGAAGTCCCATTAACTTGTCTATGTATATCACTACTTTGAACCTGTGAGTCTGGTGTGGTCATTGCGTTGGTATGTAACACCCAGGCACGCGGATCAATAGGATGTACAGGTTCTTGACGAGGTATTGTAAAATAACGTTCGGCTGGATTAGGATCCCAACATTTAGCAACAACTAATGTAATAGGTCTACGGAAAACAGTATTGAAAGTTACAAAAAAAAACAAAATTTTACTACCGAGAAAAAAGACAAAAACTCAATTCATTCAAAAGCAAAGTAGGTTTGAAAACCTCATAATTTATTATACTTGTGATAAGCTAGGAATTCGATTGTATTGACCACAAAGTTTAAAAATTCGTCATATAACGACTTAAACATGTTGAGTATACGGTCGAAGATACTATTCTAAAATATTTTCTACGTTTTGTTGTGAAATAAATCTAGTCTCGATGCCCGATCAGAATTATCTTTCGAAATTACCTTTAAAGTCGAACGGGTAAGATCAAAAATATGATAAATTAGAAACCCGTGAACTGCAGTGGTTCTAGCAATAAAGTGCTTTAACCCTGAACTTTGGGTTCAAAAGTAGTAAGTGCAGTTTCATTTCACAATCGATCTAACATTCTAGTTCTTCTTATTCGATGATCACTTCCAAATCTTCATAATTATTATCCAGTTACTATTAACATCCTATTTTTTTATTCTTCGCATCTGTCAAGTGTATTATTGCCTCACATGTCTGATCCGTAAACCATTTTCATCTTACTATATCAATTTAACCTTGAGAACATCAACCAATATTCTTGTGATACTTGAAATTTTCAAACATCTTATGATATAATCTCCTGATTTTCAATGGATTACTATATTTGACAAGCAACTATAAATATGAATGTATAGTTTCAATAAATGAAAAGATTTTCTTCGCCGAATTGTCTTTATTCCTTCTTTAATGGCCCAAAGGATCTCTTCCATTATTTGTGTAACAGTAATGCACTAAATAACACTGGAAGGCACAGGTAGTATATATGTCAACACAACATCATCCTAAAGAAAGTAACAAATGCCATTGGCAGATATGATTCGTGCAAGTAAAGCCTACGGAATCTTCGGATATGTCGCTTAACGAACAGAACACATTACATAGAATTTTGAGGATATAACAGTTTCGTGTACAAAGAATATATGGCGTTTGGTGTAAATATAGTATACGTGTTCGATAAATAGTAAGACATGTTTGTAAAGTCAGAAGTGCTATCCCATCATATCAAGCAGTGAGTTAGCACATAATTAACGTTCTGTAAAACATAATCCTATTATTTACTTAGGTAGTCAGTATTTATTTGCGTGATTTAAAGTTTGTTTTCGTTAGTTCTCGATGACAACTGTGTTGAAACATATCCTTATGATGGATAGCATCCCAATTAGAATACCTTATACTTCCAGACGTACCTCAACCCTTCATGAATCTTAAAATAAAAAGAAACAAGCTTTTTGAATTTTATCTGAGAGAATTAGACAGTGATATAATAGAGCAACAACCGATACCTGTCCCAAGGACGAATAATTTGGGAGTTTATATAATTATATGACAAATTTCATTTCTGCTTAACAATGGCATAAACAGTTCGGTTCTAAACACTGAATTTCATTGTTTAGGAAACCAAGTATTATTATGAACTTACCCAGGACGCTGAACTTGCTCTCGTAATGTGCGAACTGCATCGTCATTACTCATTTCTTCAAAACTAATTCCATTTGCTTCCAGAATCATATCCCCAGGTTCAATTCGTCCATCTTGAGCGACAGCACCACCCTTCATGATAGAACCTACATAAATCCCACCATCTCCAGATTTATTTGACTGACCAACTATACTGATACCCAAGAAATTGACGATATCCATGTTCAACGTAACTGCTACAATATTTAAAGACATGGTGGAGTCTGTAATACTGCTGAACGAAGAGGCCTATAAAAGATTGAACACAATAAAAGTTTAAGTCTTCTGAATAACTTGTAGATATTTCCAAAATCAAATAGCAGGAAGCTGAGAAAAACTATTATTCTCTGTTGCGACCATAAACTCAGATAACTAATTCAAAATAATTTACAAATAGAGGGACATTTAATATATTTCTAATGTGGAGGTGTAGTTGCATAACTTGTGCACTAACAAATAGGATAATAATAATATATTATTTCCAATCAATTGAAATGGCATAGGGTTAACCATAGATTATTTCGGCGATATGACAACATCCATATTGTATCATGATGTCACTTAGCGTCTACATTTCAAACTCATCCATGTAATGTCGTTAGCAATGAGGACTAATCATTGAGTGATATCCCTAACGATGTTAAATTGTCAATTAAATCTACTTCAAATGTAATGAGTGGCAGGTTAATGGTTAAAGTATTCGATTTCCAGCCACATGTGCGTAGGTTTGAACCCCAACCCACTTCGATTTAGACAGCGGGGTAGAGCAAAAAGCTCACGTTACAAATGTGACTCAAAACGGAATGCAGTAAACCTGAACCTGATAGTCACATTAACAGTGAATGAAATGTGGAAAACTCCTAATTTTAAGATAATTGAAGAGTAATGAGTATGAAATTAAATGTACGAAATGAACAAAAAAAATATTACACAGAATAAACGTACTCGGCTGATTGGTGGTGGACGCCTACGTCTTCGTCTGCGACGTGCACGACCATACCGACGGGAAGATAATGTTGTTCCAGTGACTGATGAAAATCTGGTTTACAAAATCAAAAAAGTTATTTATTAAACCTGAAGACGACAATATAAAGTTCTACGGGAACATATATTATCAATTTAGTCTATATCACTCAGATAAGCTTATCTAAATCTACTATCGATTTTTGAACTTCAATTAGTAACAAATACATCAACATAATTTAAACTTTACCATCCCTTAACGGGATCTTTAGATGAAGTCATTTGCAACCAGAAAATACAAACCTACGCGGAACGTAACTGACCTGCTAGATTCTTCTTCCGAGTCTAAGAAGCTAGTTGATTCTAAATCAGAACTCATCATTGAAGGAGCTTCATAGGTATTTGAACTAGGCAAATAACGATAGTGGCGATGGCGTGAACCACTATGGGTTGTCTGTTGAGTAATATGACTACCACCACTCGTTGTATGGTGATGTCGACCACCTAAAATCAAGCATAAATGTGAAATTCGCACGAAGTCAGGAAAATGAAAGAAAAGTAATATTTTTTGCGAAATTACTGAACAAATAGCAAACAATGAAAGAATCACGGAAGATTCATTTGATGAGCTATCACAGAACATGAATGAAGATAAATAAGCTTTTAAAGCAAACCTACGTACATGGTGAGATCATGTAAGTAAAACAATTTTAACCAACAAATTGTAGTTAATATCTTAGGAGCATATCGCGTGCACAGTCATACTAAATTTATACCGCTGACGATCATTTCACGTATGCAAAGTAACAGAAAACTTAAAAAGCTGAAAAAGGACTTTCAATAGATACTACTATTGCAAGAGAATATATTCATAAATTCTTATTAAATTATAGTGATAAGCTTTTTTAAATCATGCTGATTGTTTCTCATCTAAATCAAATTCCAAAAAATCAGATAAATTTTTTTTAAATACTCAGTAGTCAACACACATATGAGAAAAAAAGTATTGAATAAAAAAAAGCATTCGTGAATTGAGTGGAAAATGTACATATGCCAACGTAAACATAAACTACAAAACAAGACCTGGAATTTAAGAAATACAAATACTGATACACATATTTTTATTTGAAGGTTTAGTCAACATTGAGATCAATCATCTTAAGAGCTTTGATATCGTGACAAAAACTCTCAGCTGGCCTCATTATCAGGTATGTTTACAACACAGTAGACGTATTTAGTCTCTATTTCCGGAGGAGTCACATAAATATCTTACACCGTTTCTTAGTGAATTTTTTATACAGAAAATGAAAAACGTCGATGAGCATTTTAGTAGTGAAGTGGTATTATTGTAGGGCACAAAAGTATGTTTTTCAGTATGTCTATCAATAGTTCAGACACGGAACAATATAACTTATGAGACTTCTTATTTCTGTAACAATTATCATCAGCCAACATCTTAGGAGAAAGACTGACTTCATACTAGTTATACTCTCAAGACAAGCCTAGCAATGCAAAACATTCCAAAACATTCTATAAACTAAACAGTAACAGAATAAAATTAATTTGTACCCAGATCTCTCCACCCTTGAATCCCATGCTAACTTAACAGCGGTCACCCGTGCATTATTCGTATGAAGTCTATTGAGTGGAGTTTTGCCCACTGACCTAGCATGAATCAACAGATCGCAAAATTTTTTAACAGCTGCTCAGAGTGCCAGAAAGTAACAAAACTAGACAGTCGAGTATCGCCAGTCACATGATCACAACTTGAAGACCCATAGTCCAGAGTACATAGATTTAGAAGGTCTATCAATGACATCAAATATCTGGTTCTCGTAGGTTCCTAGTCAAGATGACCAGAAATTTTCCTATGCCGCCACAGTTCATCGACAAAGCTCTCATCGAGTATTGACAGAAAGTCTCCGAGGTAACAAATTGTCAGACACTATGGTATCAGATGAAGTTTCGCTACATATCAGAATAATTCGAAGACTTTTACCACCGTCATTCAATAAACTATGTGAGTTCGTCATTAGAATTATTCACAACCGTATGGACAAGCTGAACGTTTTGTTGATAATTTAAAGCGGGAACTTCTAAGGTCAAAAGTGGGAAACAAGGAGTAAAAGTCTATAAAACTTCGTATTTGTATACCAGAGTTGCGAATTATTAGCTTATTCCACAAACGTACCACTGTTAGATGGATTAAAATTCCTAATAAATAAACCTAAATATTGATCTTTCTATTGAGTAGCAAATTCATTCAGAGATAACCCAAAACATTTAAACTTGAGTACAGTTACTCTAGGTCAACATAACAACTTAAAACAAACAAGCAGTAATCCAATTTGCTTCACTTTTAACAGCACAAGATACACGTTAGTGGAGATGACTGAGAATGAAAACATACGTTTAAAAGGGAGATTTTGCTTTTTCAGGATAGTTGTTGAGCACATACATCAGTAAAAATACGTCATGTTGAATAAAAGAGAAGGAAATGATGAATAGCCGACAATAAAAGTGAAGTGATTCAGATATAAATCCATTTAACATAAAAGCTAAAAATGTTACATCGATCAACCTAAGAAGTAGGAAAGATTAAGATTGTTCTAAATAGGCATCTCAACAAAATGATCAGTCCTACAATGTTAAATTATCAACTTATGAATGCATAAAGTAGAATCATTCGACAGACTTATTATAATGAGAACGAACAGGAAAACCATTATTTTTATTACTAACAATTTCATAAAACACAAATAAGATAAATATGGGAAACTTACTAGATTTATAATTGTGAAAATTCCGTAGAGGAGCAATGCGATCTATTATATTAATTGAACATAAATAAATAGATAGATAACAGAAAATGTGTATTCTGATTTTAATAATAAAAGTACTTATGAACCCTGTCATATATGAAAGTGTGAGCAGAATAAACAAGCAGCCTCTGTCATCTGGACCACTACTGACTAGAAGTAAGACAATTCTGGGTAGATGCATGATGACAGTTTGATTTTCAGATAATGGGATGAATACCACCGAAAAGTGCATGTTCAAAAAAAAAAGTTAGTGAATAATAAACATTAGCACACGTCACTACGTGGTTTTTGTTTGTCCTTACTGAGGCGTAGGTTTGAAGAAAGCTAGAGGCGGCCAGACCAAAACATGGCACAAGTCCATGAAGTCACTGACAAGTGGACTGAGTCATGTTGGTAGGTGTAGACTACCTGGTCGGGGACAGCGAGATGATAGCAACCGATGGTTAGAGACCCTGAATGATATGGCTCAAAATCGTTTGCAATTGCACAGGTGCATCCACTTTTTGGGTTCTTGTAAATTCTAATCTCCTGAATCCTCCTTGTCTCTTTTTTTGTCTTTCCAAATTTACTTCACTGGATTATACTCTTTAAATAACATCTTCAAACCCTAATCTTTCCGATTACTGCTTATACTCTTACCGCATCTATCACTACGGGATTTGAATCGACCACTGCACCTCTGTGCTAATGTGGTGTGGCAACTCGAACTGATTTACGTACGTACGAAGTCCTACGTTGTTACTGACTGAATGATCACTTCCCGGCTGCCCACACCGTGGAAGGGTATTTCTTGAGGAACCTGAGAATGAAGTTGGATTAATGACTGACTGACTGAGGCGATCACGAAACTGATCGATTTTTGTTACTAGTAACGGTAACTGCAAGTGCTATTTATTTAGCTCAATTTTCTGCAAGGCCTTTACCCTTTCCTGACTTGTCATCACTACTCTTAGTTCGTTAATTTTCTGGAACCTTGAACGCTACTAGACGAGTCAGAGCTTATGGCGAACTGTCATCAGATTTCGCAACCTCAAGTGGTGTCCGACAAGGCTATCTACTACCCTAATCATCTGATTTCTCCGGAATTGACCTCTTACCAGAAGAGTACGCAGATGACATAGTGCTGTTTGGTGAAGACGCTGACAAAATGCAGTCTTTTGGTAGCACTGAGCAACAATACCAGGATGTTTGGAATGTGTGGAATGTCATTGAAAAAAACTCCAAGTTTATCCACGCTTAACAAATGACGTAACAGGCAGAAATTGACTGAAAAATAAAAACTAACCTTGGTTAGCACTATGTACAGATTCCGTTTCTGTATCGTAATTTTGTCCAATATTTCCTCCATGACCCAGGTTTGCAGAAGTAGAATCAGCTGGAGCAGCGGTCGTATGTGACTGAAGTACACAAGAGTTGATTTTGCATTCGTTGTTGCTTTCAAAAAAGTTGTAAAGTAGATTTTACTTATTATTTATTTATTTTAACACAAAGATATTGGTACAAGGAGGCACCAAATATACATGCGCCACGCAAATCTCATTTGATATGTGTGAGGGCTGTGATACTGCCTGGGTGCCCAAACCGGAGCAGGTGGTTTTCTTAGGGGGTCACACCCCGAGCCTTACATCCAAAGGTCTGACTCATAAGGCAGTGGAGCATCGTAAGGAGATGCAGTCCCATAGTAGCCGGTGACCAACAATAGGTTCATACGCCATTTGTTCCTTCGGGATACTGGAGCTCATATGCACCATTGGTTCGGAATCAGGGTTTTCCAACTCCCCTAGGTGGACTCTCCATGTCCACTAACCCGGTTAAAGTGCCGGACATTCGCTTTTCGTCCTCTCAATTTCATAAACAACCCCGCCACGAGAAGGCAGTGAATAGGACTTCCGTGGCAGAGGCTGTATACGCGTGGCCATGTGAGAGCATTTAGAGAGGGAGGATGGCCACTCCACACTCCGCCATACCAGGGCATTTGAGGATAAAGTAGATTTTGTAAATAATTATTTATTAGTTTATATTAACTAGATTAGTTTTCAATGGACACTTTCGTGTGTTATTACAAATAACAGAAAGCTAGCAAATACTCCGAGAATCATAATCGAAATGTGTCAATTCAAACTGAAAGTAATGCAGTACGAACACCAGAAACACAATTTCCCATCCTAGCAACAAGCATTGCGGAAGAATTAGGATTTATGACAGAAGTGACATTTTAGATCATGAATTATGCATGTAAATAGACAATTTCGGCACCAGTTTGTAATCTTTGGGTATAGGTATATGAAGATACTGTGACCGTGTACATACCTATGGTAACACAAAATAAGAACACTATCGTTCATTATTTGTAGATCAATTCATTCATACCACCATAAATTCAGTGAAAACCTACATATCTTGCTGGATATCCTGCACTTTCTATTCATTACACATTGACCGTGAAGAATGCAGATTTACGTGTTTGTTGATTTATGCTTCACAAATATTTGATATCCCAAGGATTTATAAGATACTTTTGATTTAAGTTAAGTAGGTTTCCATATCAACACTCTCAAAACAGAATAAAGTTGACGGCCGAATTAAACTTGTTACAAAACTGAAGTCAAGTTAAAAGAAAAGCAAGTGAACATGTAGGCTGACAATTTCACGTCTATTGTTCATAGGCAAAATATTCGGCTGACTAACAGTGCAAAACCAAATACTTCTTGAGTCACAACTGAGTTAGAGATAAGAATACGTCGCTACACTATTCAAAACTTATGACCTAACTGAAATTATATATATATTAGCAAACTTACCGCGTATTATTTGACTCCAAATCAAGGTTAGGATCATATTTACTACTATTTACACTAGCGTTTGCCTCAACAGAGGGGTTGAGAACACCTGGATCAGATGCTATACTTTCATCTGTAGTCACCAACTAAAATGGAGAGCAGAAAAACAAAGTCGAATTGTAACTAGCGACTCGGTGTATAAGACAAGCTATGACGCTAGTTATAACACCTTTAAAAGTAGCACAGTAAATTCCAGATTTTGACACCATTATCATCGAAAATCATTTGATACTTATAAGAAACAGCATTACAAAATTTGATTGCTCCAAAAAATCAACGAATACTTTTAATAACAGTAAAAGGACAGGGAGTGAAGTAGTCGAACGCGTTGACAACTTCACTTATCTTGGAAGCCTGATCAGCCCTAATGGGTTGGTGTCTGACGAAATCTCAGCACGGATTCGAAAAGCTCGTTTGGCTTTGCCACCTTACGTCACCTATGACGAAGGCAAAATATCCGTCTATCAATAAAAGAACGAGTATACTGCGCGGCAGTCCGTTCTGTTTTAATTTACGGCTGCGAAACATGGCCATTAAGAGTAGAAGACACTCTTAAGCTACTAGTATTTGACCACAGATGCCTCAGAAATATTGCTGGCGTCTGCTGGGATCACCGGGTAAGTAATAGCGAGGTTAGACGTAGGGTATTAGGGAAGAATGGTAAATCAGTTGATGAGGTTGTGAATCTTCATCGACTGAGATGGTTGGGCCACGTGTTACGTATGCCCGAACACCGTTTACCATGATGCACAATGCTGACTAGTGTTGGAGACGGATGGAAGAAAGTTAAGGGCGGTCAAACCAAAACGTGGCATCAGTTCTTAAAGTCACTAACTTCTAGTCTAAGCCGTGTTGGTATATGCAGACTACTTGGTTGGGTCCGTATGACTATCAACCCGACCGAAGCTGCTACCTTGACGCGGTGGTCGGACTTGCCTATCATGATGACCCAACAGAGCTATATTGGCTGGAATATATGTTCCTGTAGGTTCTACCATGCCAGGCAGGTCGATTGGAGAACGGTAAGACTACAAGCAGCAACTCAAGGTCTGAGGGCGAAGCCGTACTGCTGACTGTAGAGGGGTGTGACAGCAGTAAGGTGTTTCCCTCAAACAACCAGCATGACAGCGATGCTGCCTTCCCACAAGGAGGGGTGGGGTTAGAAAGGGTCGACCCTAAAAATGTCACACCTCACCTTACCTCACGGATTTCCGTCTCTGGCGGTAAGGCCCTTTGAAGAACGAAGCTAACACATTAAAAACCTTCCACGAAAGGGCCGTGCGTGACCGGCCCCAAGCAGTTGTCCCTTGGGCTCTGCGGTCACGCTCCCAGGTCGTTAAGACCAACACTAATCCGACTTCTTTTTCAGGTTCCTCAAGAAATACCCTTCCACGGTGTGGGCAGCCGGGAAGTGATATCAGCCCTCATACCCGTAACAGCGCACGAGACCAAGTTGGTCACATTCAAATCCTTCCTACACCTCCTAATACCTCTCTTACCTCCATGACTAACCCTCCTCACGTCTCTCTATCACCTCGCACCGCTAGGGCAAACGATTCGAGTCCGCGGAACGCTGTTCCTGGTCTCCTGAAACCACGCTCTAAACTACACGTAGGAGCTTTTAACGTACGAACACTGTGACAAATAGGACAGCAGGCTTAATTAGCTACGACTTTAGAATCCCACGCCATCGATGTGTGCTGCGTCTCCAAAACGCGCATACAGGATCCGAGTAGCGTCATTCATTTGACCTCACCATGCCAAAATAAAGAACCGATTCGATTCACGCTTCGTGTATCTGGAAGCCCTGATTCTGCTTCCCGTGGCCTCACCGGCGTAGGTATAGCATTGAGTCTTAGGGCAGAATTAGCTCTCTTAGAGTGCATCCCAGTAGACAGTCGTTTGTGCGCTGTCCGACTGAACGGAACAGTAAGAATCCGGAAAGATAGGGACACTCGTCGTTGCCTCTTCGTCGTCTCTGCCTATTCTCCCACTGACTGCAGCTCAGATGATGTAAAAGATGAGTTTTACAGAAAGCTTTCGGACCTCCTCCTAAAAGCTAAGCGCTCGGATGTAGTAATAGTGGCCGGTGACTTTAATGCTCAAGTAGGTAAACTAAGCGATAGGGAAAGACACCTAGGTGGATCTTATGGTGTCGTGGCTCAGAGAACAGATAATGCCGCCCGTCTGTTGCAGCTATGCTCAGATAACCGCCTGTTCCTTGCAAATACTAACTTTAAGCATAAGCAAAAACATCTTTTAACATGGAGACCCCCTAATTCGTCCCAACGTTGGACCCAAATAGATCACATCGCTATCAGCCACCGATGGAGGGACTCGATAGAAGACTGTCGCTCATTCTGGAGCACATGCTTAGATTCAGATCATGCTCTAGTACGAGCGCGTATCTGTCTGCGTCTTACTGGACGTAGGAAAGACGCTGCAAGTAAACCTCTTAGGGCCCTACTTAATGATAGTCAAGCTAAGAGTATATTTCAGGAAAAACTAGGATAACAATTAGGCAGCCATGTATGTGATGCCCACCGCGAGGCAGCATGGAATGATATCCGGAAAGCTGTGGAAACAGCAGTGATATCTGCTAGTACGGTAACCCGTAAGGTTAGGGAGAAACACTGGATCTCAGCAGCACCTATTGCACTGATAGATGCTCGGAAACTCATTCCACCTGGCTCTGAACATAATGAAGAGCGGATTCAGCTTAAGCGCAAGCTGACAAGAAGTCTACGCAATGATCGTGAACAGTAGTGGGTAGCGAAAGCAAGAGAGATGGAGAAGGCAGCGGCAATAGGTAATAGCAGACAATTGCTCAGACTTGTTAAGGAAACCGACATTAAGAAAAAGACTGTTAGCGAAACACTCTCAGAGAAAGATGGACATATTATACATTCTCAATCCAGGAGATTGGATCGATGGGCAGAACACTTTAGGGATCAGTTCAACCGGCCTTCAGCCACACTTCGGTTTCCCACGATCTCCAGTCGACCTAATTGGCAAGTTGATGTAAGTCCCCCAACTCTACGAAGTAGAAAAAGCTATGGGAATTCTGAAGCGTGCGAGAACAGCAGACCCTGACAGGTTTACTCCTGAGATTTTTAAGGATTGAGGTCCAGAATTAGCACTGAGACTAACTGAGGTCTTAGGTAGAATTTGGGAACTGGACGTAATCCCATCTGACTGCTCTCAATCACTGATTGTGCCAGTCTATAAGGAAGGACAAAAGTCCTCTTGTGACAATCGCAGAGGAATCAGTTTGACAAATATAATGTCTAAAATATTAGCTTCAATAATACTTCGACGCCTAACTAAAGCTCGTGAAGAGCAGACTAGAGAAAATCAGGCTGGTTTTCGACCTGGACGTGGTTGCATAGACCACGTATTCACACACGTTCAGACGCCCCACAATCGTAGTATTTATCGACCTTAAAGCAGCATTCGACTCTGCCGATCGTAAGGTTCTATGGCAGTGTTTGTCACTGAAAGGAGTACCAAAGAAGTACATTAACCTTACAGAGGCTCTTTACTCGAACACAACTAGCCGAGTCAAAGCTTATGGCGAACTGTCATCAGAATTGATTACCTCATGTGGTGTTCGTCAGGGCTGTCCACTCTCTCCATTCTTGTTCAACTTTGTGGTCGACGTACTTTTAGAGATAACACTCTCCTCATCTAAATTTCCAGGGGTTGAACTTCTACCGGGAGGTTCACTTGTTGACTTGGAATATGCCGATGACATAGTTCTGTTTGGTGAAGACGCTGACAAAATGCAGAGTCTTCTGACCACTCTAAGCAACAATGCAAGCATGTTCGGGATGAGATTCTCTCCCTCGAAATGCAAAATGTTACTTCAGGATTGAGTTGCTTCGACACCCGAACTAGTGATAGGGAGTGAAGTAGTTGAGTGTGTCGACCGCTTCACTTGGAAGTCTCATCAGTCTTTGTGGTCTGGTGTGTGACGAAATCTCAGCACGGATACAGAAGGCTCGACTAGCTTTTACCAACTTGCGTCATTTATGGCGTAGGCGAGATATCCGTCTATCAACCAAAGGACGGGTTTACTGCGCAGCAGTTCGTCCCGTCCTACTTTATGGCAGTGAAACATGGCCGGTAAGAGTAGAGGATATTCGTAGGTTACTAGTATTTGATCATAGGTGTCTTCGAAATATTGCTCGTATATCCTGGGACCATCGAGTAAGTAACACAGTTGTTAGGAAACGGGTACTAGATAAGGATGGCAAATCAATTGATGACGTAGTGAAACTTCATCAGTTGAGATGGCTTGGACACATGTTACGTATGCCCAACGACCAACTGTCTCGATGTGCGATGTTCAGTGGTATAGGAGTAGGTTGGAAGAAAGCAAGAGGCGGCCAGACCAAAACATGGCACAAGTCCATGAAGTCACTGACAAGTGGACTGAGTCATGTTGGTAGGTGTAGACTACCTGGTTGGGGACCGCGAGATGATAGCAACCGATGGTTAGAGACCCTGAATGACATGGCTCAAAATCGTTTGCAATGGCGCAGGTGCATACACTCTTTGTGTTCTCCCAAATTTTGATCTCCTTATTCCTCCTTGTCTCTTTTTCTCCTCTCAAATTTAGTTCACTGTATTATACTTCTTGAATAACATCTCCAAACACTAATCTTCCCGATTACTGCTTATACTCTTATTACCTCTACCACTACGGGATTTGAATCGACCACTGCATCTGTGTGCTAATGTGGTGTGGCAACTCGAACTGACGTACGTACGTACGAAGTTCCGCGTTGTTACTGACTGACTGCATGACTGTCATAACCAATGGTTGGAGACTCTTGGTGACATGGTTCAGAATCGATCACAATGGTGTAGGTGAATACACTCTCTGTCTTCCCTTAAACTATGAAATGAAAATCGCTTCATATCTTTCTTTCTACGAACTAATTCTTTCTTCTTGTATTATGTCCTTATGTGCAATCTTTCTTTTATATATTACCACCTCTGAACTAACTACTTTTATGAATCCGGTGTTCATCTTGTTGTGTTAATGAGGCATGGCAACTTGGACCGATGCATATATGTGCCTGGTCCTATATTGTAGCTAACTGACTGACTGAATTAAGGGACGAGTATATTGCGCGACAGTTCGTTCTGTTCTACTTCACGGCCTCGAAACGTGACCATTAAGAGTAGAAGATACTCGTAAGTTACCAGTATTTGACGACAGATGTTATTAGATATATCGCCAGCATCTGCTGGGATCACCGAGTAGGTAGTGAAGTTAGATGCACGGTGTTAGGGAATTATGACGGTCAACTAACAACTAATATCAAATGGAACCAAGGGTTGCATTACAAGTGTAGCATTTATGCTAGGTATGCTAACAATCTTATTAATACACCTAGGAATGGAGTTCTGGATATGTGAAAAATAAGGTAATTGTGTCTAGCACAATAAATACATAAGTTTTCACTAATGTAGCGTCAGAGCACTTTTACCAAATAAAAGCAAGTACAGATAGTCTGAATATCTTACTACTTGTATCAGGTGTATAACCTTATAGCCCACATCTTTACTACGTTCATCCACCACAAAATTTTGACAGAGGAGCGGAGAACGACATGATGGAGTGGATCAAACCACATAAAATGGTAACTGAGATAAATCTGGAAGTTAAATATGCTACGAAAACTTAAGCTATAAAACTTGGTTTGAGATTCAACACATCACGCTTAGATAAATCCTTTTACTAACCGCTTTCCTCCTTATTCCTAACTAACAGTGAGGTATGATAAGGTTGTCCAGTCTGAATACTTCCCTAACTTGGTCATGAGATATATTAACATCGGGGAAATAAGTACTGTATACCCGAAACCTTATCAATGAAATAAGAATTAATAAATATGATGCGTATACATACCCAAGAAACGACACGGCCATTGAAACAAGGGAGTGGAGCGTTATCTTCGAATATTTCCTCCTTAACAACCCTAAGAATTACAAGAAAATTAGGGATTAAGAGGAATCAAGAAAGCGTGACTAACTGCTTCAAAAGACAAACATAAAGCTTAGACGAGTACTTACTCGTTGCTACGCTTCACATAAGCGATGGGAGATCAATAGGGGGACAGTGTTGATGACGAAAACCAAACAAGGAATATTGTACGGAATGATCAAGTGAAATAAGACGCAAGATATTTCTGGGAGAGTCTTATGGCGCGGAAAATGTGTTTAACTCTCCCCATCAGAACGCATTATTATAGTGTGCTATTAAAAAGCGCAGAGATATCTTACTGAAAGCGTTCTTTCGAATATGTGGTCGTACTAGACATTCCGAAGAGCTGTAAACGGTTAAACCAAGTATTATTTCCAACACGTTTGTTTTCCCTTGTGACAGACATGCTTCAAAAGCTAATACTTTTTTTCGCCCATACATTTCAAGGAATGAACACTCATTTAAAATGCTTTATTGACATGGGGAACACATACGAGTCTTGAGTGACGATGCTAGATATACGGAGTGAAAATGTGTTGTCTATTACACTGATTCTCAACATACTGACAGGCATTTCAGATCGGTGGCTGAGATTCGATTTGGATATAAACAACCGCTTTCTATTAGTGTAGAGCAATTAATTTCTAAGATAAATAGGTATCCTAAACAGGCGACCACATACTTGGATATTAAAGACTAACACATTGCTGGGAGTTTGGTCATATTAAGTAACGACCTGGGAAAACAGTAGCCTATCCATTGCCATCAGACCTAACAAATCCTCGTCTAAGACAAAAATCCAAAGGAACCACTTAACATACCCAAACGTCGTTCCAATGTTATTTAAAGAACGAGTGGAAGAGCTGGTTCTTTTAGACTTGTGTTTCACGTAACAAAATAGAAGGATCTCACGTAAATCAATGAGTGGTTAAGTAAACTGTCGACCTCATGCTGACTGCTACTCATATACAAAGACAGGTATCAACAGGTCCCTGAGTATGCAGCATATATCTCAGTGATGAAAAGTAGTTTCCTTCCGCTATTATCCTACAAACGGCCGTAATAAATAGGTTGCAGAACATTCATACGCATTTGCAATGCCTTTTTATATTCAATAATCAACAAAAATATCGCAAAAATAACCGGTCGTAAATCTCCGTTGGCAATCAAGATAAGACAATAATGAAAACGCATCGAACATGTTCAAGGAATTACTAACCCGAAATCATCGTCCAGTGATTTAAAAAAAAATTTCGAATGCGGTCTGTTTAGAGCGTTCTTGAAATCGCCAAGAGTGACTTTTTCTGGAGCAATGTTGAGTTTAACAAGGTAAGGAGTTTCTTCTTCATCGATGTAATATATGAACTTAGTCTCCCCAACCGAAGTGCTGTTGGCCATCGGGAAGAAAATCCGAAGAACGCCGCCTTGAAAGTACTTTGAGTGAGCTAGTCCAATCTTCAATACTTTGGAAGATTTAGATGACAGTAAAATGTGAATATTTCAGTTATTTGTTTTCAAAAACCTTGGTTCCTTAAGTGCCACAACAGTGATCTATTCGTGTTAGATAAAAAGCTTACAAGTTGAAGGCGTGCAATATACGTAAATGTTAAACAGGTATTCGGGGTTTGACAACGCCTTTACACGTTACACATTTATAATCAACGTATGCCAACCCAGTTAGATCAGAAGTCAGAAGTGGAGATTTTCGAAGATACATTTGGAAAGCCATCTATATATAGAGAAGCGTTTGGTTTAAGCCGGCCTGTTAGTTGCACGGGATGCGTAGCCCATTCGTGATCTAGTGAATATGCGCGATCGAGAGCCTTCAGCTTGATGTGTACAGTAAAATTTATGGGGTCAGAATGAGATGTCGGAGACTTGCAGAGCTATCTATTTTGGCGACTTATTTGCCGCTACATCCTGTTAACCATCCGTTTTCAGTTTTCATTAAGTGTTCCATTAGGTCGAGAATCACTTCCAACCACATAAGGCAGGGTATAAAGGCAAACAGAAAACTCTTTCATACACACTTGTTGAACACTGTGGCCTAAGATCATCATATAATGTGACGAAAGTGGTTTTCAAATGGAAATTGTAAAGACATGTCTGAATAATGCACCGATCTGTAATAACTAAATGTTGGTCATTAAAATTGACGAAGCATAAGGTTTGTAAGATGATTTCTGTCCCGTTAACAATTCTATAGGTGTTGAAGCTAGTTTACTCTTCATCTCTTTGATTAATCCAGTAGATCAAGGAGTTGGCTTAAATATTTTCCGTTTTTCTACAAAACAATCCGTTAAAGTTTGCACAGCCAGGTGCAAGTAGTCGGTATAAATTTATTGAGTCGGGAAAAACGCCTAGTTGTATTGAAGAGTTCGAAACAATATACCGTTTAATTTTACTATCTCCTCTTATTTTACTGACTGTCTACAAAATTAAAGGCTTCTGTCGTTTTACCATTGTAGCGGCAAATAAATCCCCAAAATAAATAGCTTTGTAAATTTTCGTTTATAGTGTAGCGGTAAATAAATCCCCAAAATAAATAGCACTAAGTTTTCGACATTGGATGCTGACCATATGTTTTGGTGGACTCATCATCACTTGCTGGTCGCCAAGAAGAAACTGAAACTCAAGAAGCACTGGACAACGGGGCGGGCAATATCACAAAAGTTCAATACGGCCTTTCTTCAGGACACTGACAAACTCAACAAATTCAAGATAGCTCTCAGTAACAAGTTCCAGGCCTTTCATGATTTACTCAATGGAGAAGGAACTACTGTGGAGAGCAACTGAAAGGGGATCAAAGAGGCAATCACTTCAATATGTCATGAGGTTCTGGGCCACAAGAAGCACCATCACAAGGAATGGATCACTGTTGATACACTGGATAAGATTCAAGAAAGGAGAAACAAGAAAGCAGCAATCAATACCAGCCGAACAAGAGCAGTGAAAGCCAAGGCACAAGCTGAATACACAGAAGTAAACAAGCAAGTGAAGAGGAGCATCAGAACTGACAAACGTAAATATGTGGAAGATTTAGCAACGACGGCGGAAAAGGCTGCAAGAAAAGGAAACATGAGATAACTATATGACACGACAAAGGAACTCTCTGGAAATCGCCACAAACCAGAACGACTAGTGAAAAGCAAGGAAGACGAGGTAATCACCAACATTGAAGCAGCATCCACGGACCTCCCAATCAATATTGGTCCACCAACAATTGAAGAAATCAGCATGGCCATCAGACAAATCAAGAGTGGCAAAGCAGCAGGACCGGACAACATTCCAGCAGAGGCACTAAAAGCAGACGTAGCGGCAACTGCAAGGATACTCCACATTCTCTTCAATAAGATTTGGGATGAGGAACAAGTACCAACAGACTGGAAAGAAGGACTTCTGATCAAAATACCGAAGAAAGGCGATCTCAGCAAGTGTGATAACTACAGAGGCATCACTCTTCTCTCAATACCGGGAAAAGTCTTCAACAGGGTATTGTTAAATAGAATGAGGGACTCCGTAGACGCACAACTTCGTGACCAACAGGCAGGATTCTGTAAGGAAAGATCGTGTACAGACCAAATCGCAACTCTACGAATCATTGTGGAACAATCAATTGAATGGAATTCATCTCTCTACATCAACTTCATTGACTACGAGAAAGCTTTTGATAGTATGGACAGGACAACACTATGGAAACTTCTTCGACGCTGTGTCGTGCCTCAGAAGATAGTCAATATCATACAGAACTCAGGTGATGTATTACACTGCAAAATCGTGCATGGAGGACAGTTGACAAAGTCGTTCGAAGTGAAGACCGGTGTTAGGCAAGGTTGCTTACTCTCACCGTTTCTCTCTCTCCTGGTGATCGACTGGATCATGAAGACATCAACGTCTGAAAGGAAGCACGGTATACAGTGGACATCTAGGATGCAGTTGGACGATCTGGACTTCACAGATGATCTGGCACTACTACTGCACACGCAACAACAGATGCAGGAAAAAACGACCAGTGTAGCAGCAGCCTCAGCAGCAGTAGGTCTCGATATACACAAAGGGAAAAGTAAGATTATCCGATACAACATAGCATGCACCAATCCAGTCAGAATTGATGGAGAAGATTTGGAAGATGTGAAAACCTTTACATGTTTGTGCAGCATTATTGATGAACATGGTGGATATGATGCAGATGTGAAGGCGCGGATCGGCTAAGCAAGAGCAGCATATTTACAACTGAAGAACATCTGGAACTCAAAACAACTGTCAACCAACACCGAGGTCAGGATTTTCAATACAAATGTCAAGACAGTTCTACTGTATGGGGCAGAAACCTGCAGAACTACGAAAGCCATCATCCAGAAAATACAGGTGTTTATTAACAGTTGTCTACGCAAAATACTTCAAGTCCATTGGCCGGACACTTAGCAACAACGTACTGTGGGAGAGAACAAACCAGATCCCAGTGGAGGAAGAAATCAGGAAGATGCGCTGGAAGTGGATAGGACACACATTGAGGAAAGCACCGAACTGCGTCACAAGACAAGCCCTCACATGGAATCCTGAAGGTCAAAGGAAAAGAGGAAGACCAAAGAACACATTACGCCGAGAACTGGAGATAGTCATGAGAAAAATGAACAAGAATTGGATGGAACTAGAAAAGAAGGCCCAGGACAGAGTGGGTTGGAGAATGCTGGTCAGCGGCCTATGCTCCATTGGGTGTAACAGACGTAAGTAAGTTTTCGTCATTGGATGCTGACCACATTAGTTGGAATGGACCCCGTCATGCATCTGCATCAGATCACAAGTGAGAACGCCGTGTTCAACAACCCCTGCAATCGCTAGCCAGATTAGATAAGACGATCCTCGATATATTGATAGCCTATCAAATATACCTTCGAACCTTCTCGCTTCTGTCTTTTGATTTCACTCGTTGGGTACGCTTCATATTAGAAGGTATTACTGGTTAAAGCGTTGTCAAACTCCAAATACCTGTGGCATTTTCTCCATGATGCTCTGTGGTGTTTGTATGAAGTAATGATTCCCTTGTACTTCATGACTGATTTATTTCGAATTTCAAATACAATAAGTTCGTTCCTGCTCATTTAATACTTCTTCGTTAAATCGTGTCATTTCGGGGATTCTTATTCTGCACTATAATTCAAATACTCCTAATTATCACATTGCCATAACAATGGAGCCTGTGATGGAATGGTTGGACATAAATTCAGATTTTGATGCTTTTGAGGATTATATTGAAGGTTCAAAATCTGTACTATGACCAAAGGAGATGTTGAAGATGTTAATATTGCGGCTCATTTCCTCACATTCATCGGAAAAAACCGTACAGTTCATACATACAATTGATTGAGGAGTTGCGAAGTAGATCACGAAGATGGGCACAAATCTGATCAATGTTTGTCCTGTGTTAATTTTCACTCATTTAATTCATGTGTATTTTGTAATTCTAAATGCTTAACGTGTAGTTAGATTGGATGCATTCAGTCAATTCGTAATATTACTGTTCATTTCGCTTCAACTATTACTGAACTTTGTAATCCTACTTCTATTAGGTTGAATGATTCTGATGATCATTTATCTTTATCCACGACTTCAAAAATTGGTATAAAGTCACATAGCAGTCCGGAATTAAATAAAACTCAGGATCATTGTGAGGCGAAATTTTCGAATCAAACAATTTCTTATCGGATTTCTCATGTTATTGTACTAGATGATGGTTTGGCCTAATGATTCACATATTTTTGATGGAATTTCCCACAGGTCTGAGGAAAATATGTTAAGTGAATAAGATCATGACCAAGAACCTGATGCAGTTTCGATAAATTCTGATTTTTCTAATGATCCACTATTCTCCAATATCATTCTTAATAAATTTGAAGAAAATATTTCGGAATCGAATTCTGATGTCATATCAAATGTCATTTGTCCTGACAGTAGATTAATCTCTAGTGACATCCTTAACAAATGTGACATGTGTTCTGAGTTAGCCGAATTCTAGTCACATTTCTGATGTCACTGCATCGGATGTTAGGTATTCTCATAAGCAATGTATGTTGAGTAGAATCTATAGTTAGTGGTATGATGAATCAGAGGAAATAGCAAGTTCTAAAGTATTCAGAGAACCAGTTTCTCTAGATATGAAGTTTGCGCAGGCAGAAAATCCAAATCGAGTCCAAGATTGTCCTAATGAATATGAAGCAGATGTATATTTTCCACTTGATTTCTTTGCAAGTGAACCGAGCCTAGATGAATCACATGTGTTAATTACACATATCACTGCATATTTATCTGTGTATTCTAGTATGAAAAGCAAGAGGATTATGTATCTTATTTTTTATGCAAGTCGAATTTATATGATGAAAGGCCCCAAGTTATATGTCAATGTGTATCCCCAAACACTCACATATGATAATCATAGCGTGAGATATGAGAAGATAACGCAGATTTGGAATGTCAAATATGTCATAACATTGCGACGTGAGGACCCTACATTATTTCGTGGGGAAGATAGTATTAGAAAGTCTATGATTC